CCTGATTTTGCTTTGGGCCGGATCAAAGCTCTACAGTATAAGGACTAGTGATTGAAATCAGTGTTTCTATTTATCTGTCTTTATTACCAAGTAGTATTAACTTTTTGTATTGCTTCTGAACAATTCTGACTGTCCAGTGTACTTTATGTTCTTGTAACATACACTAAAATTGCCCAACTCTGACACCAACCCAGCTCTGGCCCATCATGGCAGAGGTACATTCTGCCTCAGTGTGACAGTGTTACATTTTCAACATATGCTCATTCTGCAGTCAAGTTAGGAACCTATGCAAAATCTGGTTACACTTTAAAAATAAAGCTTGCTGAGGTAGCAGTTTGGTTAGGTGTAGGCAACAAAGTCATTTGTTAGGTTTAGGAAAAGATTGTATCTGACTTTTGGTTTCACACAGGACTTGAACAGTGGTCTCCTTGGTGAAAGTCCTGTGTTTGTGTGAGCTATTCACTCAACCAGAACTCCTCCAACTCCTGGTCGTGCACCTTCATACGCTTGTGTACTCTTCATGTCTAGACCAGGCAAAACTTGACACTGAAACGGTATCTTGTGGGTCAGCAGGTCTATTACACACTTTAGGATGATACTGGGATGCTGACACAAAGTACACTGTAGCCTTTGGCCTTTAGCCTTTAGCCTTGTACTTTTAGCTAAATCAAGGGTCTCAAACTCAAATTTCTTGGAAGCCACTGGCCAGGTGTTTTCTCCTAGCAGGGGCTGCTTTATCACTCGTTAGGACACAAAGCTGAGCAACTCATCTTTCCCTCTCATCTCTCTCCTACCTGTCTTACTGCACCACATGTTCGGTATAGTGATGTTGCTTGAGGTTGTATTTCTGGAGAATCGCAGCTTTCTGCTTGTAGGTGAAGAAGGATGCAGTCAAATTAAAAAGCTGGATTTTTTGTTTCTGTTTCCAGTTGTCCACCTCTCTTAAAATTATCTTTGCTCCAGGTGCTTTTATTCCCCCAAGTGTTTATGTTGACATGTTGCACTGTTAAAGTGGGAAATAAAGTGGCCAAAGAGCCAGGTTAAATGATTAAATGATTGATTGATTACATTAAATGATTACATTAAATTAATTATAAACTGATTACACCATGTCTGTGGGAAACTTTTAGTCACAATCTATCACAATTAGTGCTGTCAGTTAAACGTATTATTAACGGCGTTAACGCACACCCATTTTAACGGCGTCAATCCTTTTATCGCAAGATTAACGTTCTTTTTGACCTAGCACACTTTGTAGTTTTTTTCACATGCTGTTGCAACAACTAGTAACGTTAGAAAAACTACAACACCACACTGGATCTAGCTAGACCGGAAACAAAACAACAGACACGCCGCACACACTCGTTTAAGAGTAGTAGATGTTACGTTTTGTGTGGATGGCGAGTGCGAGACGCCGAAATGGATGCAAATAATATTCTGAATGGAAAGTTTACTTTTAAAAAGTTGCCAAATGGTTCCATTGACAAGACCAAAGTGATCTGTGTGTTTTGTCGTTGTGAACTGAGCTATCATCGCAGCACGTCCAGTCTGAAATACCACTTGATGGCCAAAAACACAGCTGATGCGAATTCTCCGCCCCCTCGTCAAAGCCAGGCGACAATGGATGATTTTTAAATAAAAACAACATTTGCACAAAGCAAGCCGATCCACTTTTCCATGTTGATAAGAGCATTAAAATGAGAAAAAAGAATGGGACAAAAAGAAATCAAGGGACATTTAGAATAGATAAAAATGTGCGATTAATTGCGAGTTAACTATGACATTAATGCAATTAATCGCGATTAAATATTTTAATCGTTTGACAGCACTAATCACAATATGATTAGCCAATGGTATCTCACAACTGTGTTTTGGAGTCTCTTAATGGTAATAAATCACTTACTGCGGCTTTAAAAAATGGATGGCAATGTGCACTATTTATTTTGGTGGCTGCAGAGGAAAGCAGCTCAACCACAGTGATTGTTCTTTTTCAGATTGTTAAAATGAGTGGCCTGACCAGTGGCCTGAAATAATCTTAAAGAGTCTAAATCAAGAATTTTTGTAATGTTGTGGCATAGATGACATTACATATTTCATTAAATAAACAGTATTTGATTTTGAAAGGTTTAATTCAGGTCCTGCATGTGTGTATGTGTGTCAGGAAAAAGCTTGTCTGAGCCCTGAGCCCCTCAGGGCCAAACAGCACCTGTCTGTGCCCGGCTCAGCTGCTCACATCAGGATCAGGGGGAAAGGTGATGGGGACACAGTTTCCTGTGTTTGTGTCCGGTATTAGCCATGGCTGTTGCCATAGTGACCCTTTGACCAGAGCACTATCATGATGCTTGACCGGTTTACAATGAGCTGGATGTTGCTGTTTACTATGATAACATTTAATCAGAGGATATTGTGGTGTCATGTAGTCAAAGAGGAATCTGGAGAGAAAGCAGAGAAGCAAGACGGTGTGGGTGTGTTGCCTAGCAACAGCCACATCGTCGGCTTTCCTCATTGCCATGATGTATCAGTGGAGCTAAGAAAAATAAAAAGACTATGCCTGTAACAGCACTAGTGAGGTAGTGTGAAAGAAGCGAGCCTGCAGAGAGGAGGGATGGTAAGCTGATGTGGTCCAGCAGGATTTGTGATGCCTCTGCAGGAATGAGAGGCTGAGCAGCATAATAGCTGGCCTCTGTGGAGCCCGGGGCCATGTTGACGCAGTGAAACTGGCGGTGTATACGAGTCGGTGTGAAATATGACCACTGCAGTGTCTTCATCAATAACACTGGCACCATCTCCTTCCTGTATCACTCTGTTTCTACCCCCTCTTCCACTGTCTCTCACACTTCCTCTTCCCTTGTGCTGTATCTCCATCTCAGTCCACTTCCACCATGGCTCCTCATTGATTTCTCATTCTGCACTCAGACTTCAGCAGTCAGTGTCTGCTCACCACTGCACTGCACGTTAGCCCATATCAAAGCTGAATGATAAAGTCAGGTACATTAGCATCTTATAGTGCCACAGATTGACCTCTATGTGCTGAATTATGAGCCTGCCTTTAACCTCATGAAATCAAAACAGACTGTAAGGAACACACCTTCACTGTGTCCCAATCATTATTTGATAAAAACTCCATCAAATACACACACACACACACACACACACACACACACACACACACACACACACACACACACACACACACACACACACACACACACACACAGGCTAACTGATATTAGTAACACAAACATACTTGGACAGGGATCAAATACTCCACAAAAGAAATCCATCTGGAGCTGTGAAACATTTGGGCCTTATAATGCTAATTTCAGATCAAACGTACCGGTAAGCCAGCAGCGTCAGTATTGATTTCTATTCAATACTGAATAGTTTAAATATTTATTTAATCTGTCCATGCACTATCAAAGCTATAATATGGAACATTTCCACTTTAAGATGTTTATAAACTCTAGAGCTATGTTCTATATGTAGTTTATTGTCCCCTATCCCCTTTGTGCATGTGTTAGCGTAGTGATTGTTGTTGTGGATGTTCCCTCTTCTAGTACTAAATATATAGTTTTTAGACTTATTTGGACACTTGCTTGCACACTACTTTTTTATGTTTTGTTATATAAGAATAGACCATATTTATTAAGTGTCATTAAGGTACTACCACCTTGCAAGGCCAATGAGCACGTCATAAGATCATAATTTATGTACAACTTAATTGCTTACTATCAATATGCAGGAAAAAGGATAGTCTAGTAAATGGCCTAGTAGTTGTAGAATATAGTCATGCAGAATAAGGTATTAATAAGTTATTTATAATGACGAGTGAATATGATACTAACATGCATGCTAATAAGCAACTAGTTAATGGTGAATATATATAAGTGTTACTGAGGCTTTTACCTGCTAAACATTGTGGCAGCATGTTAGCCTTCTGACTTTAGCATTTAGATAGATAGGTAGGTAGGTAGGTAGATTAGGTAGGTAGGTAGGTAGGTAGGTAGGTAGGTAGGTAGGTAGGTAGGTAGGTAGGTAGGCGGTATTTGTCCCACAATGGGGAAATTCCAATATTACAGCAGCAAAGTGGATAGACAAAAAAACAGTATAAAAAAACAGTAAGAGTAGGGAAATAATAATAACACTATGTACAAGAGAAAAAACAGTAAGAATCCACAACAACATATAACACAAATATTAGCAGCAGCAGTTTCACATGGGCAATAGATTGCACAGTGAATATGGTATGGTATGGAGTATTGCACAGTAATTATTGCACATTGTTATTTCCAACATTACTATTATTATTAAGGAGTCTGTCACTGAAGGAGCTGCTCAGTGTAGTGATGGTGTCCTGCATGGGGTGGGAGACATTGTCCATCAGGGATGATAGCTTTGCTATTATCCTCCTCTCTCCCACCACCTGCACTGAGTCGGGGGTCAACCCAGGACAGAGCTGGCCTTCTTGATTAGTTTGTCGAGTCTCTTCCTGTCTGCTGCTGAGATGCTGCTGCTCCAGCAGACCACTCCAAAGAAAATGGCTGATGCCACAACAGTATCAAAGAAGAACCACATCTGTGGTTACGTACAGCTTCACAGATGGGAGTGCAGGTTGACTGAAAAATCTGCAAAAGTATGTGAAAGTCATTTCAATATATTGCCGTCATTCAGCCAACTCCTAAGGAACAGATCTCAGAGCAGCACAATGAACAACCCTCTAGCCTCACTTTTTGGGGTCAGCTTGTGTGAAACAACAGCAGAGGAAGATAACTGGTAGAACTGACAAATGCACTGATACTGTGTAGTGTCAGTAAACCCCTCCATTAGTTGTGTGACTGGTAGTCAATATTCCTTTTATGACTACGAGTGGTGCTATTGCAACCATGACATTGCAGAATAATTTAGGGCAAGTCCTCAATAATGCCAGACCGTGTGCTAAAACTAGAAATGAACCTAATAGAAGCCTGACCTGTGTCCCTCTTGTGGTGCTTCCTCTACAGCTGATCAGTGATGGCAGCGTGGTGTACGCCGAGGCTCTCTGGGACCATGTCACCATGGACGACCAGGAGCTGGGTTTCAAGGCTGGTGATGTAATCGAAGTAGTGGATGCCACCAACAAGGAGTGGTGGTGGGGTCGCATCATGGACAGCGAGGGCTGGTTCCCTGCCAGCTTTGTACGGGTAAGACATAGCTCATAATAAGTGTGCTATGTTCTTGCACAAAGGTCTACAAGTGAGAAAAAAGAGAAATGTCTTGACTGACTGTAGGCTTATCAAAATGTTACTTCCTGTAATCCAGAAAGTATTTCTGAAACTACAGCTGATGTTAATGTGAGTTTTGTAAATTGACAATGAGTGAAATGCAAAAAAGAGTTAATTGTTGGGGGAAATCAGAATTCTTCCTGGGCCTTTAAGTTACCTGTGTTGTCCTCAGTTGCGTGTGAACCAGGATGAGCCAATGGAGGAGTATCTGGCCCACCTGGAGGAGGCTCAGGCTGGAGAAGAGGACCGTGCAAGTCTGGGCTTGTTGCTGGGACCTGGTTTACCCTGCAAAGAGCAGATGAGGACCAATGTCATCAATGAGATCATGAGCACAGAGAGAGACTACATCAAGCACCTTAAAGACATCTGTGAGGTCTGCATTATGCCTTATTGATACACTGGTATCCACCAGCTGAAAATAAAAGTAATATACAGCATACGTACATGACACTGCATTGATTTGAACAAGATCACCAAATCAAGCATCCAAAAGATAAATAACAGTTTTTAGAATTCTGATAGTTACCTATTATTTTATACAAATGTAACTTATTCCAATTCCTGACAAAACAACTTGATCAAAAGCAAATACAGTACATTATTACATCTGCACAACTGGATGGAAAACAAAAGATCTTCATTAACAGGAAAATACAGAAGAACCTCTGTAGCAGTCTAGCAGTGTAGCAGTTTATTCCCCCCCAACAACATTTTACTATACTGTAGCACCACCAAGCCATGTAAAGAGCAGATGATGTAACTTGGCACCATAAAACATTAAAAGGGATGTTGAAGAAGCAGCCCAGTATTCAAGAGTAATTGCAAATATAGTGACATTTATTAATAAAAACCTTACTGAAATATAAGCTGAAATGGACCCTGGAAAATTCAATAAAGCGAAATTAAGCTAACGGAAAAAAGGTTAAAAAAGTAATGAAAGTTGCAGCCTCACAAAAAGCTGCCAACTCCTTCCTCCTCCGTACTCCACTTCAGTTTGTCATGGACATGATACAGGGGAAAGTGTTTAGGGAAACATGCACTGTAGACGCAGCTGTCACGCGCTGCTCAGGTGGCCTATGAGAGTCTGCGTTTTTGTGTATGTGTGATTAGTTTTTATTCATGTTGTGTGTCTCTCTTTTCCATAAGGGTTACATCAAACAGTGCCGCAAGAGGACAGACATGTTCAATGAAGAGCAGCTTCGTACCATCTTTGGCAATATTGAAGAGATCTACCGGTTCCAGAGGAAGTTCCTGAAAGACCTGGAGAAGAAGTTCAACAAGGAGCAGCCGCACCTCAGCGAGATTGGCTGCTGCTTCCTCGAACACGTAAGATGAGTCACGTTCAGAATCTACAGAACTTGCAAAAAGAAATTTCTGTATGTAAAAAATGGTTGTTGCTAAATGTCAGAAGTCTTCCACTGTTCCTTTGTCTCTTTCATTTTGTTGTCTTAAACCCTTAAACTAATATCTATATAGTTTATGTAATGTAGGAGTATGAGTGCCTAACTTTTTACTGTGGGTGAAACATTGTACCAAAATATTTTCATCCTTCTAACCCCTTCTCTTGTTGTGTTTTCTGTGTAGCAAACAGATTTCCAGATCTATTCGGAGTATTGCAACAACCACCCCAACGCCTGCGTCCAGCTCTCTAAGCTCATGAAGGTCAACAAGTACGTGTTCTTCTTCGAGGCCTGCCGACTGCTCCAGAAGATGATTGACATTTCCTTGGATGGCTTCCTGCTCACCCCAGTTCAAAAGATCTGCAAGTACCCACTGCAGCTGGCTGAGCTGCTCAAATACACCAACCCCCAGCACAGGTGACTGCACATTCTTCACGTGTTCACACAGGGAAGGATCTGTGGAAGTGTGTTCTGATGTCACTTTTATTCTTTCCTCTATAGACAGACCAGCCCTCATTGGTCAGATCGGACAAATGTTGTTGTGTATCCATAGTTGATCCTCCCTAAGTCCTGCCCCTTTTGGAACCTTGGTCAATTCTCTCCTTTCCTGTACTTAGATAATATGCTATGAAGTAGACTTGTCTATTCTGAAAATACAACCACATTTCCAAGATGGTTAAAACATGAAAGTGACATATAGCCTATGTAAGTAAGATAATGTTAGCAAAACATTACTGAAAATTAACTAATGAAAATCAGACATTGCTTTTGAATGGTGGTTTAATAGAATCATTTTAAAAAACAAACTAATGAAACTGGCCTCGACAAAAATGGTAAATGGACCTGTACTTGTATAGCGCCTTTCTAGTCTTCTGACCACTCAAAGCGCTTTTACACTACGTGCCACATTCACCCTTTCACACACATTCACTCAGTGATGGCAATGTCCATCGAACAGAAACTAACAATCATACACACTCCACTCACACACCACATTCAGTATCTTGCTCAAGGATACTTCGACGTGTGGCACCAGGAGCCGGGGATCGAACCCACAATCCGATTAAGGAACGACCCGCTCTTCCTCTGAGCCACAGCCGCCCACCACAAATGATGGTACTCCTAGAGGAGATTGAAAAAAATTAGTTAATTTTCAGTACATTTTTTGTTACTATTATTTTTGTCAGTTTCAAGTTATTTCAGTGACCATTGTGGGTTTTTCTTTCTTTAACGGAAGGGTACCAACAATTTTGTCCACGTGTGTTAGTTTCCACTTCATGCACCAACTGCATGTCTCTCTCTGGTCTTTAGGGACTACAAAGATGTGGAGGCAGCCTTAAACGCCATGAAGAACGTGGCCAGGCTGATCAACGAGAGGAAACGGCGCCTTGAGAACATCGACAAAATAGCCCAGTGGCAGAGCTCAATAGAGGACTGGGAGGTGTGGCAAGAAGCATCTTTGTTCTGAAATGGTCTCTCACTTCCCACCATTTACTGCAACTGTAACAGGTAGAAAGTAACAGCTGTGTGTGTTTCCATCCATGAAGGGTGAAGACGTTCTCAGCAGGAGCTCTGATCTCATCTTTTCAGGGGAGCTGACCAAGCTCTCCCAGCCTCAAGCCAAGAGTCAACAGAGAATGTTTTTCCTTTTTGATCATCAGATGGTTTACTGCAAAAAGGTGCCTTAGCATGTTACACTGTATTTTACACTGTTTTATGCAAGAAGAATCATCCTAAAAAGGCACTTGTAGTGCGCAAATGGTTGATTTATGATTTTATATGAGAAACAAAGTAATCCTCATACATTAAGTCCTCGATTGCCCACATCCATAACAAATGTGGTCCATGTGGAATTCTAATGGGCTAATCAATCATTTCATACTGTGCAATAGTGGCTGATTTCTAATTCAGGAAAGGCCATGATCCAAATATTAACTAAATTTATTAAATGCTTATATTTTTGATGACATCAACATTTTCCAGTGAGCAAGGTGGTATCCTTAAATGTGTCTGAGTAGCAGCACTCTAATTGCATGTAGTGTAATCTGAGTGCCCACTTTTATGATGAAATGTGCAATGCTAAAAGCCACGGCCCACCAGACTCCATTGACCGAAACACTAATTTTACCTCCCACTTCATAAACAAACTCAGACTCACATTCAGACTTGCCAGAAACAAAATAAAACTCATCAATACTGTATTTGTTAGTCTTTCCACTGTTCCAATAACAGGTATACCTGTCTGGTTTGGTTGAAATAAATCAACCAAACTATTGTATTTGAGTATAAAAAGGATTTTTTGCTATATTTGCCTTACCATTGTAGGACCTCCTGCGCCGGGACATGCTGTACTACAAGGGTCGGGTGGACATGGACCACATGGAGGTGATAGATGTGGAGGATGGCAAGGAGAAGGATTTCAACATCAGTGTGAAGAACGCCCTGAAGCTGCGGTCGCTGGCTGGAGATGAGGTCCACCTCCTGTGTGCCAAGAAGCCTGAGCAGAAACAGCGCTGGCTCCGAGCCTTCGCTGACGAGAGGATTCAGGTCCAGCATGACCGTGAGACAGGTCAGACAAATGCACAGTTTCTGTTTGCCCTAGTCGAATGATCTGTAAGACACAGAAAACACTGTAATGAATCAAACCTGTGATCTTCTGATTCCTTGGCCCTGACTCAAGCAGTGCTCTTTTTTAAAATCTTTTGCCAGGGAATTAGCCCCGTCTTGTTCGACACTCATACAATTCCACTAGCTTGAAAGACATTTCATGTTAAGCAATAGGTAACATACAGGATCCTAAAGTGTCAAATGTGTAACTATGTTCAATCTATATGTAGATTTCTTGAATTTCAATTTAAACTAAAGTTAAAGTTCTCTCGTATGGTATGGTAGGGTAGGGTAAGGTATGGAATTTTATCATATGGTATCTTATTGTCGTATAATGGTATATGGTATTGTCATGTCATAACGTATCGTATTAGCCAGCATCGTTTCCATAACATCTCAGCCAAGCTTCTTTCTTTACAAACCACAGAGCGGTTTCCTTAAACTATCATGCAAGTATCAGTATCCTCCTTTCTTCTCCCTCCACTACATCTGCATTAATACTTTAATGTCCTCACTTGGCTGTGTGTCAAGGAATATGGGGCTGCCAGCAGTAAATGGATTTCTATGATGCTGGTCCAAAGAATATAGGAGCAGAATGTCAGTGATTGTACCTCAGTTCTCTCCATTACACACAACCAGGCTTCTGTTGTAAGTTGTTGTCTATATATACTATGACAACTTAGTGTTTTTTCTTTTTTTGTCCTGCACATTTCCATCCATTAAATGCATGTTGGGTTATGGTGTGGACATGGGCAGTCTGTTGGATTCACCTTTTGTATAGGTTAGAGCACTCTGGTTGGGTTTAGAGTGATGAAGCAGGTTGAGAGGGTGATGTCACATTGAATTAGTCCCTTAGTATACAACAGACCCAAAGCTTTCAGCACATCAGTGCTTTTGTGCTAGTGAAGGTTTACAGCATTTGCCCCAGATATGACGCTTTCTTCCTCAGACACGTGCTGTATTTAGCAAACAGACTCACCAGGCTCAAAATTAAAATTAGTCAAACTTTGTATCTAATTTTAGTGAGTGTTTTCACCTCTCTGTATATTGAATATTATATAATGTATTATACAGTATATTATATAGGCATTCAGGAGAGGACTGTTAAAATAATGTTAAGGTTATGTTAAGGTTATGTATGTAATCTACTAAATCAAAAATCATGTGATTTGCTATAGTCAAATTTGCTTAAAAATTCAGGGAACCATTTTTTTACAGGTCTATACTTCACTTTTTCCTGGAACTCTGTAATTTGGTACTTATTAAAGGCAAATAGTTATTTATTTAAACAAAAACAGCTCAAATTAAATACAAGTAAATATAAATGAATTTAGTATTGGAACCATCAACATGACAGCTCTCTAAAAGTGAAGCCAAAAACATCTCGATTGCCACCTGGTGGCTGACTGCAGTATAGCTCATAAAGTCTGTTGCCTCTTCCATGTTAGCAGATGGAACATGGGACAAACTAAAAAATCCCTAAGATGGTTTCTGTTATTTAAGGTAGTTTTTAATCACACTGATGTATGTCCAAGTATTAATTCTTCCATTAAGATTGGTTTTAATTAGTTATTGAAAGCTATATGGGCGAGACTTTAATACCATGTCATAATTGAAATGGAGCCGATCATCGCTGACACAAGCTAATGGCAGCCATGACAAGTTTCCTGTGTGCCATAGTAGAGTTTATGGAACAAACATACTATAGACCATACACCTAGTTACTTTTATGATTGAGTATTCATAATATTGCACACAGTCAATCACAGTCAATAGTGTCCCTCCAGCACACTGGCCCACAGGATAGTGTTTCAATGTGAAAGAGTATATGTCACGGCTGCTGCAATAATATGCCTCTAACCTGTGACTGGACAGTTGATTGTTGTTAGTTTTTATATTTTGGTACAAACAATACATCCCCATCTCAAGAAAAGGTTCCCATCGGGTGGCACCTGGGTAGCTCACCTGCTAGAGATGGCGCCCCATCAACCAAGGCTGAGTCCTTGCTGCAGCTGCCATGGGTTTGACTCCAACCTGGGCTGCGTGTCATCCTCTCTTTCTCTGCCCCCTTCCTGTCATTCTTCAGCTGTCTCTGTCAATTAAAGACAATAAAATATTATATTTGTTAATTAAAACTAATGAGCATGCTTTGCATTTATTATTGTGTGATTAATTCTGCTCTCTGCTGGATACCACTGCAATGTAATACACCTCTTCGCTTTGTTTTCTGTGTTGTGATTTGATGTGTCATGGAAAATTCATGGGATGAAATGACAATGAAAAACAATTTAATCAGGCATTTAAGACAGAAACCCAGGAACAGACAGTAGCTCACCTGGTGGAACATACGCCCTATGTGGGCAGAGTCCTCAGCGCAGTGGCCAGGTTCAGTTCCAACCTGCAGCCCTTGCTGCATGTCATCCACCCCTTCTGTGTCCCCCCTTTCCTGTCTATCTTCAGCTGTCGTATCAAAGTAAAGGCATAAAAAGCCCCAAAGATATCTTAAACAAAAGACAAAAAGCTAAATAAGTGCCCTTTAAATATGTTTTTTATTGAATTAACACACAGTAAATGCACACATAAATATCAAATATATATTACAATCTGTATTGTATTTTACTTTATTTCTGTGTTTGATCTGTGTTTTCTAAATCTCCGATTGCTAGCATTTACAATAAATCAATTACTATTCAATATAAATCTCAATGACACAAAATCCTTGTCGCTTTCATAACAAAAATGTTTATAGGAAGCCAAACTAGAAACGGATTGTAAGAAAGAATAAGATAATAATTATAGATGTAAACACTCACCATGGCATAGTATGCATGTTCTTGTGGTCTAACAAACGTCTCAAGAGCATTTTCTTCCTCATGCAACATTTCCAACATCGATTTTTTTCTTAACAGTTTAAAACCTTTGCTGTTAACAGTCTTCTTCACAGACTTTGTTGGCACAACCATGTGTTTCTTGACTTGTTACTAACACCGATCGATCAGTGGAATAGTGTGAAACCATTTGTTCTTGTGCATATTGCTTCAGCTGGATGCACAAATCAGTGATTCTGTTTCTGTGGTCATGTTTTCGTTCATGACAGAATAACTAGAAAGCTTTTAGTGACATCATTTATTCCTCTCTTCTCAGGGTTCTCTCTCACAGAGGTTCAGAAGAAACAGGCCATGCTGAATGCCTGCAAAAGCCATCCAGCTGGGAAACCCAAAGGTATGCACCCAAGGGTGACTAATTGGATTGTATGGACTTGAGTAGTTGCACTAAGCAGTTGTATCTGAGTTTGTGTTTATATGAGTGGAGACTTTACACCCCATTTACTGTTATAAGTTATATTAAGTTTTATTTCCTTTACTTAAGGATAATAATACCCCTCAGATCATATTAAGCCTCTATAAGACGTCTTCTTTTCTCCCTGCTGCTTGGACATAGGCAACCTTACTGTTGCATGCATACAGCAGGACCTTTTTTAAACTGTCACCAGGACTTATTCTTCAAGCATCTCAGAATCCCTGTTAGGAATTACAGTAAAGGTTGGGACTGGGACTGAAAGTACTCCTTCAGCACAGAACAGCAGAGTTATTTATGAAGATTCCCGCTCTCACACTCTCCTTTAAAAATAAATATCTGCACTCCACTTGCTTCTACTTTACTGTTCTTTGATCAGTGTTAAATTGCTGTTATTAATGAAATGAAGCTATCACCAATATTACCATATCAACAGCTTAAGATTGAGGGATTGGGAGTTCCTCGTAGAAGAGGTTGCTATCGCCTCTTCAGAGTCAATGAAACTTCTTCCTGCACAATTGTTTCACATTAAACACCTGCTAAAAACAGGAAAAGTGTTTTCTTTAGAGCTAATGAAATGTTTTAAATGTGAAACATGTTTCACTGATAGTATAGTTCAGGGTTCAGCAACCTTTTCTATCAAATTTATTGTTGGGAAAAAAACTTATAAAGCTAATTTCTCACCACAGATCAAACATACCAGTAAACCAGCAGCATTGGTTGCGGAAGCAAACAAATCTAGAAAATTCTCTATTTTCCTCTGAGACTTCTTTTTTTGGACTTGGACTCCATAGCTAGCCTAGCTAGGGAGACTCAAGACTAGTAGCCACCACTATTGAGGTTCAGGAAAATATAGAGGAAAGCCAAGACAGGATGAAACATATGACACACATTTTAGTTGACAAAATGTTAAAACATTTTTTAACTGAAGAATGAAAGAATCATTCTTCATTTCCATATACATTTTACCTTGTACTATGAAAATAAAAACTATGTAAAAAATGCAGAGAGACAATATGACTGTAATATTGCCAGTTTTAAATATGGCACAACCATCGATCCAAATGTTTTCTTTAATGAACTGAATACTTTTACCTTTTTTTGTTTTCTAAGCTATTAATGGAATTGGCTTATTCATTTCTGTAATGCATTGCATTGTCAGACAACATTGTCCTTAAAAACCAAACTCAAATTTCGAATGATTTAAGAGAGTGCAGAAATCCTGGCATTTTCAAATCATCTTTAATTGGTTGTTCTATTCCTTAATCGGAAGGTTGTGGGTTCGATCCCCGGCTCCTGGTGCCACACGTCGAAGTATCCTTGAGCAAGATACTGAACCCCAAATTGCTCCCGATGCCATGCATCGGTGTGTGAATGTGTATGAATGTTTCTGTTCGATGGACTTTGCCATCACTGAGTGAATGTGTGTGAAAGGGTGAATGTGGCACGTAGTGTAAAAGCGCTTTGAGTGGTCGGAAGATTAGAAAGGCGCTATACAAGTACAGGTCCATTTACCATTTACCATCCCTGTTCTAGCATCAAGTCAAACAAAGAAACGGCAAAGTAGAAGCAAATGTAATTAATTAGTGAAAGAAATTATTTTTTTCAAATAAAATAAAGTGAAAGCAGCAGAGAGATGAGTATGACATGGCTCTGTTGAACTGACGGAATTAGGGCTGTGGAAATGTGAGCACAGATAGTACAGGTAACTCCCTGTGTTTTAAATGGTAAATATTAAATAGACCTCTACTTGTATAGCACCTTTCTAGTCTTCCGACCACTCAGAGCGCTTTTACACTACGTGCCACATTCACCCAGCGATGGCAAAGTCTATCGAAGAGAAACTAATGCATTCATACACATTCACACACCGATGCATGGCATCAGGAGCAGTTTGGGGTTCAGTATCTTGCTCAAGGATACTTCGACATGTGGCAGGAGGAGCCGGGGATCAAACCAAGGCAATAGCAGCTGACCTTTACTGCTTAAAGGTCCCCTCCAGACATGTATTAAAATATACAGATAGCTTGCTTGGAACAGTAATCTGTGTCTGATATGTTTTTCCACAAAAAAGTATAATTTCCACATTAAAATCCTAAACAAGGCATCTATGCCTTCTACCTCATTAGAAATGCTACTGTTCATTTCTAAAGTTTTCCTGCTGGAAGATCCTAGAAGTCTCCTATTTCACTGTAAAGTCCATTCTCAGTGGATGTGCACTGGTGGCTTCAAGTTTCTACATCACACTGTACAAGTTGTATACTGGACGAGAATTGACTTAATTGACTTTGTGATGTCACAAATTCTGCTCGTAGGCTGTGCCACTTAAAATCAGATTTCCAGTGAGAAACTTTTCACATTCAGTAGAATGTATGAATGTATGAATGTGAAAATATCCTTCCAGAGTCAAACTCTGCTCATACAGCATTCACAATGTACAATCAATGTCAATACAATGTCGGATTGGCCATTATTTTAATTACCCACCTGAAATTGAGAATTACAGGCCTGTGACACTAAATAAATACAGTCCTATATAAATATATTGAATACATGCTTTCTGTCAGCTTTTCTCAGCTGTATATGATAACTCTGAAGAAAGTGATAAGTAATTATATTTTTCATTTATCTCTTCTTCAGCGGTGACCAGACCCTACTATGACTTCCTCCTGCGACAGAAACACCCCTCTCTGCCCACCGCTCTACCCCAGCAGCAGGTCTTCATGCTGGCTGAGCCCAAGCGCAAAACCTCCACCTTCTGGCACAACATCGGCAGACTGACACCCTTCAAGAAGTAAAAAAATCTGAAAGGAAAAGAAAAGCCGTGAAGAGAAGGAACAGAGGAGGAGAAAGAGAAGAGCTCTCTGCTCGTGCCTGAATAGACCCTTTTTAATTCTTCCTCTCTTTTCTTTCCTACTCGTAACATCGCCCTAACTGAGACACTGATCTGTTGTATAGATGAGGATGATTATGATATGGAGGAGATTATTTTTTTGAAAGCACTTTATAGGTTGGCTAACAATCAGACTTGAGAATGGTCTCCTGGAGGGAGAGTGGACTCTTGCTTAACGTACTACTTCACCTTCAATCAAGCGCTGACTGGTACTAATACTACTACTGTACTGCTGCGAGCGAGTGTGGGACTCCTGGCTGTGCTGCCTCTGTGAAGACATTGGCTGTCGACGAAAACCGCGTAGTTTATTTCCACTGTTGTGTTGTTTTATGATTTGACAGATGCCAAGTGTTCGCAGTGCCAGATGTTTTTATATTTGTTTGTTGTGTCTGCTTTTGAAGAAAAAAAAGGGAAAACTGAGGAGAGGGAGGATGGGGGGTGACGTTTCCTGTGCTTTTTCTCTGTGCAAATGTATCATTTCAGGGTAATTTCAGCTGGTTTTCGAACTGTTTTGTGATCTCCATCCGCCGAGATTTGGTTCCGTACGTCTTCGGTGCGTTCGTCGTATTGTGCAAACACTCGATTGAAGTCATTAAACGCAGCCCAAAGGAAGATTCAGCTCATCACAACAGCAGCAACCCACACACTCTGGCAACACACATTCCTCGAGTCTGATCCTTGACTCATCCTTATACCTACCGTGTCAATGAAAGTAAACAACCTTTTCTTTTTTTCTTTCTTTTTCTTTTTTTTAAGTGCCATTTGAGGTGTGTCATGGATGATTTACAATGACATGCATGGATGTGATGAAAAAATACTGTGAAGAATATTTTTTTATCTCTGAAGAACCCTGCTATATTTAACCAGATGCAGGAGCTGAGGTTTCATTGTGCCACTAGGCTGACAGCATCCACACACACACACACACACACACACACACACACACACACACACACACACACACACACACACACACACTTACTGATGTTCTTTTATCTACCTGTATTTCTGATATCCAGTATTCCTGCTCTGTGTATTTGGCCTCCAGTATAATCTCATTTCAGATCAATGCAGCCCAGTGGTATCGCTCTGTAAGTGCATTCAGTGAAATGTACTCCTTTCACCTTTATGTTAAAATGTTTTAGCTTCTGACTATATGGAATATTAAACATTCCTAAGCTGACAAATTTGGCCATCAGTCGGTGATTATTATTTGATTTGACATTGAAGTTTTGGCCTGCTCGGCAGACATCATGGGTAAGGGATTCTGCTCTGTCATTAGCTCCCCTGCTGACGTTTAAGCCAGTGTTTTTGCTTGTTTAATTGTCAGAGAAACAAGCTGAACTAATGTTAGCAGCAGCTTGTCCTTTATCTGCCTAATAGTGTGGGAGAAACAGTGATATTTTTAAGGAGGAACTGCTTTATTCAGTTTTTACTAGTTTTAATCAGTGAGACTGTTTGTTTTAGAGAGGAGGAGACCTGCACTCCAGGTAGAAACCTCTTGAATGATGATAATGGTGGTGAAGACAACAACTCCCATGATCCCATGCTGCTTTACCATGTCACCAAACATGAAGTTACTAAAAAGAAGACAACCTGTTAGCTTCCCTGATGTCATTCCACAACTGAGGCGACTGAACTGAAAAGTCCTGGTCACCTTCAATTTTAAGGTTTAAAAGAAGAATGGCCAGGAATGACCTACCAGAGGATCTCAGACACCATTTCAGCTCGTAGGAGGTGATTAAATGCCATTGTTCTTGATACCTGTGATGCACACATGGATGTTGTTTAATTGACTGGTGTCATTACTGTCAAAGGAGAGATATAATTGTGTCTCAAAGGCATAGAAATGGTAACTGATATTGTGTTTATTAATAATATGACCAAGTGGTAGCATGTGATTGGAAAATAGTAAGGGCCCAAGGATGGAATCCTGTGGAACTCCATATTGTAACGATACGTGAGTTGATTAATAATCCAGATTTCCACAAACAATGACCTCCCTGGAATGTAAGAATGGACTCTAAAGTCCACTCTCTAGTGAACAAATGACACATTTTTTGTACCCCATTCCATTCATAACAACACAGTTCTTCAGACCCTTTGTGGAAAGATCTTCTTCTCTCCATATATCAAAGCACTGACTATATTTTGAGTTCAAGTCTTTAAAAATCCAAAACCATAATTTTCACTGCTATGAATGGTTAAAAATATTCAGTGCAAAATGCATTAGTCATAAGAGGCAACTGTGATTTACTGTAAATTTTAAAAAAAAAAAGGCATAATTTACAGACTAAATCCCTGACTGAGAGTCACTGTACCATCTATCTGCCATCCCTCCGGAGACTTCTACACATTCTAGTATCTGCCAGCCAGAGCTGAATAACTGGAGGATAACAGGAGAACAGGCTGTTTGTTGTGACAAAATCATTGTTTCTTTGCTCATGTTGTGGAGCAGACCTGAGATCTTCAGACACACCGGAGAAGTAAGCCAGCAGGATGAGGCTTGACAACCCTTTGATAAGGTAGATCTGAGAAGGGTACTATTCACAGCCTATCAGCTGCTGCAGATGAGCCAGTAAATGACTGTGGACACAGTAGACACTACTCAACATTTCTTTAATTTCTCAAAAGTAAATCATTACAAAACCTTTTTCTCGTTTGTTTTTCTACTACTAGTAACACCACAGTTTCTCAGTTTCAGTCAAATTAACTAGCTAGTATTCTGGAGTGTTTCACTTTAAGTATTAAAGTTCCAATATAATGTCCATAGGTATGTTTTCATTAGTGTATAATTCAAATAAGAATAACAATCGCTGTGTAGAATGAGTCTGCCATGTTGAACCAGCATGTTTCTACAGTAGCCCAGAATGGACAAACCAAACACTGCATAGATAGTTTCAGGGCCTCCACAGTAGCTTCTACATGCTTGGAACAGGGAGGTGAGTAATCTTGTCATCTCATATCACTAATTCCTAAACACTAGTCCTTTAAGGCTTCTTAGTCCCTGGGATATGATGTTTGCATGTTTGCAACAAACATGCTTTTCGGACACTTGAAAAACATTGTGTTCAACTTGCAAGCCTTTGGAAAAGGGAGGGAGATGCCACTCAATCAACTCATATGCAATCTTTTTATTTAAAGGTCTAGAAATTGCCATTTTGGCACATTGTGCCTTCTTCGATTAAAATCCAGCAATTATTTGACTTAATGACAAGTACAGGTGCTTCAAATTAGGGCTCACAAGGCATCAACATAGAAACAAAAGGCACAAAAGTAATGGTACAGACCAATCAGTGACCTTTGAGGAACTATTGGCAGCTGCAGCATGAGCTAAGGCATGGTTTAACACTAGGTGTGTGCTGGAGAGTATTTCTTGATTGAAAGAAGAGCAAAGAATGGCACTGAAGGCTTGTTGTTTTCACTCTTCTACCGATTGGCTTATTGGTTCATTGATCTGATTGGTTGAAGTTCACTCGCGATAGAACGTGATAGACAGATGGTCCATCCTATTATGAAAGTTGTTGTATGTTTGCATCACACACATCTGCATGGTCTGCATCTTCATCACTAGAAAGAAGGAAGTGAGTTTGGTGACGTATGGCTCAACGTTTTGTGTAAGAAACTACAATGATTGGACATATTTGCATAAAAGTTGCAGTGATTCGAAAAACTTTCAAGGACGCGCAGAATTCACAGGGATTAAGGGAATTTGCATTAATTGTTGTATCGCAACAACAAATTCAAGATATGCCAAAATTTTGACATTAAAGAAAGAGATTGCATTTGTGTTACGAGTGTGCTGCTTAATGTCAGCTCTTAGTATGATGAGTGTTCCTTCACATCTTCAACCTGCAAGACTTGTCATTTTGAAAATCAAACATAATGAATCAGATTAATCCATCTAGATTTATTTGGGGATTTTTGTTTTTGCTGAGTTGACTCAGACATTATAAACAAATACACCAATTACTCACCTGAACAATATGGAAGCGAATCGTGACCAAAATTTAAATTTAAATGCATTTGCAGAAATGCTTTTTCATTTTAATGTGGCTGCATTATTTGACTCATAAATAAAATTAATAATCAATCATCCTATTTGCATTTTAATTTTCTTCTTCAAGACTGTTCATTCTTTTACTTAATTAAAATGAAAAAGAAAAAGACATTTGAGATTTAATTTTCAAAATATGCCCCAGCAAATAGATACCAAAATTCAATTTGAAATGTAAAATTTGAAAATTAAAATGCATTTGCAGAAATGCTTTTTCATTTTAAGAATGTGGCTGCATTATCTGACTCATAAATAAAATAAGTAATCAATCATCCTATTTGCATTTGCATTTTCTTCTTAACTGCAAATTTTTCTGCCATCATCAAAAAGAAAACAAAGAGGAGATTGCTATTTCGTTTTCGTATTTTTTGAATCATAGATGGTTTTGATGTACTGTTCCATTTCCTTACCAAAAGCAATAAAAGAAGGTTTAGAGTTACTAAATTTGGCTTTGTGTATATGATATTTCCCTAAAATGATCAACAAATTGATTAGGTATATTTCTTTCTGTTTTTTACTTTTGTTTTCATGGAAACCAAACAGTACATCTTTCCACAACAAAGAAAAATCAGAGACAAGTTTAACAGAAATGTATCGGGAAAGATCTTTCCAGAAAGTGGTGGTGTAGGGTCAGAACAGGTGCACCATTGTTTCTGGACATATTCCACATAAAGAACAGTTAACACATATGTCAAGCTTAAACCTAAGGAGATATTGCTTAGCAGGATAATACCTATGTATGATTTTGAAAGAGACTTCTATTACTTTATTCTTAAGGAGGTATTTGTAAGGAAGGTTCCAGATATTTCCCCAATTCAAGTTGTCAACAAAATTAGACCAATAGGGAACAACATTAGGGATACTGGGGACATCTCTCTGGAATAAAGAGCGAATGTAACGATTATTATTCCTCGTTGTGGTAGCAAAACATATATTACCAACTGAGGTCAACTTAGGGTCTGAAGCTGGTAGCTCCGTGCTGACCGTGCTACCCATACGTAGACGCCTCATGACGTGAGGAACGTATCCAGCGTCGCCGCCATATTGGATGGGTCTCCTCACTCTACGCTAGCACCAGAGTCAATCAGAGTCAACGAGCAACTATGCCTGTATTTTGTGCAGCTTACGGTTGCAATAACCAGCGCAGCATTGATACCAGATCGCGTGGGATTACCTTTCACAAGTCAGATTGAACAATAATTTTAATTATTTTACCATTTATAATATTATGTCATCGGAACTGGTACTCTCTCTCATTGTCTCTTGCTGTTTTTTTTTTCTTCTTCACATTTTGAAGGTATCCCAGTGATACAGGCTTGAGGAGGCAATGGGAAGTTGCTATAAGATGGGAGGGTTTTGTTGCAACTGAGTCATCAAAGCTCTGTAGTGAGCACTTCAAGCCTCATGATTTTGACAGGACGGGTCAGATTGTCAGGCTTAGAGATGGTGCGAAATAAATTCAAATGAACAATCAAACTTGTTTCTTTATTAAAATATAAAATTAATTCATTTATACATTTATCAATATGCCATAGCCTACCATATGTCTTTGTTAAAGAGCATAATGCAAAGTCTTTTAGCATGAAAGCACGTATTTTTCAATGTGTGACAGTGCCCTGTATCACAACTAAATCTCTGCCGTTTGTCACAAACGAAACCGTGTGAAAATCCGGTAAAAAGGTATACACCTTCCTAAGTAGAAATAAATGCAGGGCGGGCGCATTGGAGACCCATCCAAGATGGCGGCCGCGCTGATACGTCAGCTCCAATAGGCAGCGTCAGTCTATGAGGTGTCTATGTATATTATGTCTATGGTGCTACCCACAAGACAGACCAGTGTCTTTAGCGCCCCTGGTGGTAGTGACCACTGGTCCGTGCCAGGTAGGAGCTGGAGAGGACTGTGCTGCAGGTCACAAACACACTGACCTGCATAATCGATAGTACTACTCATACAACTATGACTAATAATAATAATTGAATCATTGTTATTATGATTTCTGTTAATAATAGTGATCAATAACATTGGATAGACAAACGATTATGGCTTCTCACATTTAGGCTATTCTGCTAACACAGTGAGAAACGGGAAAAGTTGTATTAAAAATAAATACAAACAAACAAACACTCCACAGATCACTCAACTGGTCCAAACAACAGATCACATAGGAGGTGGTCAGGACCAGTCATTTTAGATCCTTTTGTGCCAGTAAGAAGCTGGTCATGACCGCTGTGCCACCAGTGTCTTTAGCGCACCTACCTAGTGGTTGACCACTGGTCCGTGCCAGAGTCCAAATGGTCCCGGGACAGACCACAGAATCGGCTACATTTGAGTGTACATGTGAGACCATCGAATGTACTCAAGGGAAAAGTTAAAGTAACTCTTTTCCGGGAGTTGATTTTTTAATTCTTTTGTGGAGTTAAAACTGAACACTTGTGGGAGTTAAAAAACTAATCCCATGTGGGGTAAAATACAATTCTCACCTGGAGTTCATTTTAATGTGAACTCTTTCATGGTGTTAACAGTCAACACTTAAAAATATGTTTTTATTCAACACTTTTCTGAGTTAATATTTAAAAACACAAAATATTTTAGGTGAAAATGACTACAAAAAACTTTGATTACCACACATTTTTATTTTAAATCCATGTGTGCATTTTACAAACTGTAAACATGTTACAGCAAACCAACCAGACATATTCACATTTAAAACAAACTGCTTTAACAGCAGCTAAACAGCTGGAACAGGCAGTTATTTCAAAAATCATGTCAGTACCACATCTTTCTGTAGTGCATAAAGAAAAGTGCAGAAAGTGCATAGTATAAAAGCATTGCACAAATGTCTGACAGGATAACAAAGAACTTTTCTGTAATGGAATGTATTAACATGAGGTAGACTTTAAACCTGTAATTTAATTACATAAACATGTACATAAAAACAAGGGTGAATTCCATATAGCTAATGTTAATACTTTAAATAATACAACCCTCTGACATACAAATGTGAATCACACATCAGGCACACATATCTTTGCTGTGAGTTGACACTGAAGGGCCTGCCTCAATAATTTGGGATGAAGTAGAGGGTGTTCCATCATTAAAGCACTGAGAATTATTGTGCTGTTGGCTGTCATGGCTAGAGGGGGTCTCAGGAGGCACACAGGTGTTATCACCAGAAGCATGTATCTTAATCAAGTGTCTTCTAAATCCAGAATAACTTGAAAATTGCAAGCAACATCCTACTTGACCACATTTTATTCTCAAATTTTTCCCAGGGTACATCCCATGAATTAGTTTGAGGTGCCTGAACAAAGGTAACGCTGTACCAAAGGATGAAGCACAAAGGAAACATCTGAGCATTTTTGCTGGATAAGCTAATTACTGCTTGTTCAACAGCTTTGCTCTTAGCTCTTTGACTCTTGGAGTTTCTTCTGTTGTACCTATATCAATGTTGTACAGAGTAGTTTGCAAAAATGTGTACAGACTGGACAGAGCATCATCTTATTTCACACTGAAAACAAAGTGGGACTTGAACAACTCATCAAATGCACCCAAGGATGTACATGACTGACATGGAAGAAGCTTTCTATCCAAGACTATGTAGAAGCTGGAAACCTTTACTTTAGAAGTCCCTGAGGCCAGAAGATAGTGCTGAGGGTTTCCTTCAGTGGTCATGAGGTGATCCTCCAGGCTCTGGCAGGACTGAAACACAAAGACAAGCATCTACATATAAGCCTTTAGTTTAAAAAATGTTGCATGACCCACAATATTTGGAATTAGATCGTACTGTCTTCACAAACCTTTTGAAATTTCACCAGATGATCTGTTGCCTCTATGACACTGATCTTCTTGGGCCTCTTCCTTCCAGCTGGTTGTGGAATGAGAAGATGCAGCAAGACAAGAAGAGAAGCCATGTCGCTGTCCCACTCTGCAGTGGAAATAACATAACATAACTTATAATAATTAACTCAACAATATTTGTCTTCACATGTTTTCCTTGTGGAGGACAAGGTTACCACAAGGTGGTAGGCAGACAACATTAACACAAAGCTGTAAAAGCTTTTCTGCAAAAAACAAACAAACCCAGAAATTGTCAATCCCCTTACCATCATCAGTGGAGATAACAAAACACATTGCTTCTGTTGCAAGTTCTGGAAAGACATTCTCATCCACCTCTATGCCCTGCTCATCTGTGACTTTTAGCACTTTATCTTCTGGTATGAGAAACGTCTGCTGCACTGAAGCACAACATTCAACACATTATTAAATTATTATTTCCCCTTTAATGACATCAGACAACACATAGGTACATCACATACCTGCTTTGTCCTTCCTTGTTGTACCTTCAACAACCTCTTTACCACTTGAGGGAAAAATAATCATTTAACCAGTACTAAAAGCAACATGTGGACTGTCACTCTAACAGAAGAGTCTTTGTAGGAGCTGTTATTCAATCTATAGCATGCTTAGCATAATATCCAGTGGTCCCAGTCATGTCTTTACAACGGAAATGACTGAGAGATAGCCTCTAAGCTTGTAAAAAAGTCGCTGACAAGTATCGAACACGTTCACTGACATCCAGAAAGACTCCGCCATTTACGTTAAAACAACCTCTCCAACACGAGACGGAGCCGCGGTGCAAGCTGTCCGGCTGTTGTCTTAAGCAGAACTGTGTGTATATATAAATATATATATATATCTGGCTGGTCCCTTTCTCGAGTCTGTTACGGTCCTCCTAGCCGTGCCGACTCAACTAAGAAAAAAACTACTTAACGTGTTCAGTATACATCAACAGAAGAAGAAACAGTGTAGGCTAATGTTAACTTAAAATACACAAAGAAATATCAGTAATGAGAGTATGATGTTAATTCCATGCGCTAAGTACAAACAAGTAAAATGAGCGGAGCCATCGATTTATATTAAGCTCGGTCCGACAAGTTCAAACATTAACTTCAACAGCTAACGTTAGCTAGCGAGTTGACAGCTAGCTAGCTAGCGAGTTTGGCCTTGCAAAGGTTTATGACAAAACATAGAAATGTGCCGTTATTATACTGATAGAAGCCTAATAGAACGGTAGTCTGAGGAGTAAAATGGCACTTTTACCTGGCTCAGGAGTCACGGTGAAGTCCAAGTGCAGACTGCTGAGCGGAGCGCGGGACAAAGCTGTGAACTCACCCAGTGAATGAACACCCAAATATCACTCCGCCAAAGAGTTACCCTGAACACAAGCTGTAGTTAAATGGAGAGAATAAACTCCCAAAATCTAACACTTTAGCACTTTTTTGTTTAACTCCAGATTTTTGAACTCCATGCGTCGATATATGAAATGTGCACACCGCCCTCTACTGGAGCTGAAGAAGAGCGGCTACTGACGTCACTCTCCTGCGCCGCTCAGATTGCCAAATCCTTTTCGAATTATGGGCACTATTTTGCGGGGCAGACCACGAAAACGAAATAGCAATCTCCTCTTTGTTTTCTTTTTGATGATGGCATAAAATGTGCAGTTAAGAAGAAAATGCAAATAGGATGATTGATTACTTATTTTATTAATGAGTCAGATAATGCAGCCACATTCTTAAAATGAAAAAGCATTTCTGCAAATGCATTTTAATTTGCAAATTTAATTTTCAGTGCATTCGGTGTTACATATTTAAAGCTGCAGTAGGTAACTTTTTATAAAAAATAACTTTGTCACACTGTCAACTTTTTGCTGAAACTTTCCCTATATCCCCACAGTAGTACATGTGACAGATAATCTGTGAAACAATCAGGTTCCTCTGGCACTAGAAGAATCTAATGCTTCTAATGGTATTTGCAAGAATCTACCAGGCCTGGACGAAAACAGCCAACTACCAACTCAACAATCAACTATCTTTAAGCCACCAACCTAAAGTGTCTTTCTGTCTTTCTCGGCTCTGATTGGTTGTTTTTGTTCAGCTGTGGTGAATTCTTGTAAATACCAGTAGAAGCACTAGGAGGAGCCAGAGTAACCAGATCTTTTTTTAAAAGCTTTAATATTGTAAACATAATTTGGGGATAATGCAGATTGGTGACAACAAAAAATTAAAAGAAGTGCTGATGGAAAGATAGCTGTACAGTCATCAGCATATCTGTTATATAGTATGGAGGAAACAACACAGTGTTTTCATTAATACAAAAACAGCACTGTGTACACATAGGTGTGTGTGTGTGTGTGTGTGTGTTTCCATACGCAGGCTGCTACTTTTGCCATTTGCGAATCTGAGCATATTGAGCGGCATAAGACTGCCTGCTGGTGTGCTGACCCTCCTCTGTCTCTGATTCATACATCTCCTCTTCTTCCTCCTCTTCGTCCTCTTCTTCTTCATCCTCTTCTTCCCCCTCTAGGTCATCCTCCTCCTCCACGCCTCTCTGGCGTTGTAAGGTGCTGCGAGACTGCAAATGAAAAAAGGTGAGAATTCTCAGGCTCATTGAGTGATGGCCTTCAGGACAGCAGTTTAGAATTGACCAGCAGTCACTATGGTAACAGAGACATCAGCGCTTACCCTCCTGGCTGTGTCTGGGTACTGGCTGTGTTGTCTGTGGTTTTGGCCTGCCGTAGAGGCCGGCGTTGACCTGAGGCTTTGGCCTTTGGGGGAAGCCAGAGGTGGACTGGGGTAGCGGCTCATGAGGGGAGAAGAGTAGCTGCTCAGTGTGGTGTCTAGGCGCCCAGCCAGAGGGTCGGACATCTTGATTCGTCCATTGAACAGCTATGGAGTCAAGAAATAATCAGAGTTTTCAAGCTTTTAGTCTCAGTTTTATATTTATAGTAGTTCTTTTAGTTCTACCGTTATCACCTGACTGTCCTTTTTGGAGTAGATCTGCTCTTATACTGTGTGTTGTAAATTCCGTTGAATCTCTTAGAGACCTCCTAATATTGAACTATTTTGGATGATGGATGACCATCCACCCAGTGTTCCTGGCTAAAGGGGTAGTTGTCAGATGCACCGACCTGTTTCACTGGAATAGTTGCTTCAGTTTTCAATTTATTACAGGGAAAGAACATGGTACTAGTTAATTAAATCGAAGCATCTAAGAGCATGGAACTAACTGATTCCTGAAAACATTGCATAAGCATCTATCATCAAGCCACAACAGGATACTTTGGGATTGGCAGTATATGGTATATAAAGGTAAGTAACTGTAACTCACCAATGTATTCTAAAACACTTATGGTATTTCCATGTAAATACTGTAATATTTCTAACAGTAATATGTACCTACTGGGTAGAAACGAAGTACTACTAAAATAACTTAACTTATTTAAACTTATTTAAAACTTATTTTCTTGATTATGAAATTATTTCATTACCATCTAGTTTCCTGGTATGTTTCCATATACTTACTATACTTAAGTAATCTGTTAGTAATCTAAAGTACTTTATACTTACTAGCTAGTTCTTTTGGTACTTTTCTAATAACTATTTTGTTGCTATCTAGTTTCCTAGTAAATACGAGGTAATTAGGGGACTGTAAAATAAAGTGTTACCTGGCACAGTCTCTGTAACTCTGATTAATCTATTTTTGGCCTCTTAGGGGGAGCAGAGCAACATTTTACATATTATGACCTTATAAAGTTGATATGCTGAATGGACAGAAAACTGTTTACACATCCAGCATACACAGAGCAACATTCATTTAGAGTGGTGTTTCTGGCCTGATAAAGGTTTAAGGTCTCAATTCGTTACAAAAATAACTGTCTCTTTAGCTGCTAAATGTTTCACTCTGTTCATCAGCTAGTCTCTAACTGTCTGTCTGCTGTTAGCTGCTGAGCAGGTAGTATACGGTGGGTTTCTCTTTACAGTTACAGTATATCAGTAATTACACAGTTTAGTTTCAGCTGTTATCAGGTGTATCATTAGCATGAGCTACCTCCAGATCCTTTTGAATGTCCATTGCTTCCAGGTTGTGGTATGTGTGTGTGTAGACCTCCAGTGCTTTAGCATGGAAGAGCATCTCCACTGTGATGAAGTCTGTGAAAATCCCCTGCCAAAAATCAAAGCAATGCTTGCCATCAGTGCAGCGTTGATGCTTTACCTGGAGGATGTATTATATATGTAGACTGTGTGTGTGTGAGACTGACTTTGATGTCCTCTAGCTTCTTCCTCTGGAAGTCTGTGATGGCCTCCTCTAGCTGTCTGATACTGCGCTGGGCATTGTTGGAAGCTTTCTGAGCATTTACTTCTGCCTGTCAATTAACACATGATACAACAAACAAAGCTTTACCTCATAGTCTGTATGAGCCGCCCAAAGGGTCAGTAATGTCATCATATGCATGAGATAATAATAAAATAATTTACATTACCTGAGACTGAAAGTTCTTGTCAAGAAAATATTCTCAAGTGTAATTGTGTATAATGTATAATAATATGTGGTGCCTATAAGTATAATATCATAAAAACAGATATATGGCCATAGATGTAAATTGCATATATAATATATCAATGTATGTCTCTAACCAATATCCATAACATAAGAAGTCCCACCAAAAATAGAAATTCAACCAAATTCAAACCTGAGATTGCATGATTTTTATGGTTACACCAAATGGAAATATACCATGTGGAATTTTTGGCAACTACACTAGAACTTTAAATAAAGTTGTGGGGGTTTGACTGACCCACTGGTGGTTCATTAAAGTTTAATAAGTCAATAAAACACATTTCTCATGTGTGGTGATAAAAAGAGTCCGTATGTGAAGGATACAATACTTTGTCGATCTGCTGGGTTCCTCAGCCGGACTTTCTCAAGTTTCTGCAGCTCCTTCAGCTCTCTGTTCAGATCACTGTTGAATTTCTTCAGATCTGCCTGAATGGTAGATACACTGTCAGCTACACAACACACAAGTATTTTTCATATAGTTCATGCAGTGCTGTAGTACTCGAGTCCAGTATCCAGGCGTTTTTTCAATTGTCTCGGACTTGTCTTGGACTTGTTAGTATATGGACTCTGACTTGTCTCAGTCTTTGGTCTTGCCAAATATTCTAATTAGTCTTGACCAAGTCCAGCAATATATGTTTTTGTTTTTTTTCTGAAGTAACTTCCTCCTTAAAAACAAACCCAATGATGATGCATGCTTGTTCAGAAAATGGCTATGGTAGTTCTAAATCCATCTAGAATTGGCATTGACATTGGCCATCTGGTTATCAAAACTTATTTCACTGGCAATGGCAAAAGCATTATTTTTGTCTGTCTCGGTCTTGACTCTGTCCCTCTCATTTGGACTTGGTCTTGACTTGTACTCAAACCTTCCAGTACTCGGACTTAACTTGGACTCAAACCTCCTTTGACTCGGTTTTGACTCGGTCTTGACTTGGTCTTGCCTTCGTCTCGACTTGGTCTTGACTAGGTCGACTGGTCTTTGGACTCGACAGAGGTGGTCTTGACTACAGCACTGAGTGCATGTAACACTTTCCACACAAGACAAAAACAGCACTGGTTGCAGCAACAGACTGAAAACTGAATTATCTGTCCAGCAGCCAAGAATTACAGCTGTCACAGATAATGAGGAGCTCAAAAGACAAGTCTGAAAAATGTTAACTGTCAGAAAAAATCATTAAGATTGCCTACAAGAGTCTGACAAGCGAGAGTGAGTATATGACAGATAGATAAGCTACACAAATGTGGGACTGACATTCTGCTGTCTCCTGTTTCCCCTTTTTTACAGACTATACCAGTGGTTAACAACCTTTTTCCTTTTCTATCATTGACCCTTGACTAAGTGATGATTTTATGGATATTTCATTTCATATTCATAAAACTAACATTACAGAACAACTGATAAACTTTACAGTGAACCCACATAGTGAACCCAATAACAGCAGGAAGTGTAAAATGGGTGATTGGGAGGAATTTTCTGAACACTTGAAATCTGTACTCATGTATGTTTTTGTATTCCGTTTACCATCCTTGCACTGGTGCATCGGCATAAAAGTTCAAGTTCAAGTATACAGTTCAGGATGAACTCCGACGCATCGTTTCATTTTGCACTCCCTGTACTATTATTTGCTAGTAAATGTTTAGTACACACACACAAAAAAACATGGTACTAGTTAATTAAATCGAAGCATCTAAGAGCATGGAAATTTGATATAACTGATTCCTGAAAACATTGCATTAGCACCTATGACACATCATCAAGCCACAACAGGATACTTTGGGATTGGCAGTATATGGTATATAAAGGTAAGTAACTGTAACTCACCAATGTATTGTAAAAACAATTACCGTATTTCCCAGACTATAAGTCGCTCCAGACTATAAGTCAGATCAGTCAAAAAATGCCTCATGAAGAGGAAAAAACCATATATAAGTTGCACCGGACTATAAGTCGCATTTATTTAGAAATGTATTTCACAAAATCCATGACCAAGAACAGACAGAGACTATGTAACTGGACACACAGAGGCCAAAAAGATTGAGAATTCTACCGGGAATGTTAATGAAGACGAAGGAGTGAAATGAGGTGAGCTGGGCGATATGAAGGCGGCCAATTTACAAAAGATTCACTGAACAAAAATGCTGAAAATTTAGCTAAAAATGTGGAGAATGCAATGCAATCAAGCATTTTGGGCGATGTCTAGGCAAACGCCGGCAGCAGAGCAAATACTCGGGAGGCTACCTTATTTAGAAATTTATTTTACAGCATCTAAGACCAAGAACAGACATTCAATCAGGAAATGCAAGTTAAACACAATAGCACACAGAAATTAACATAATACGCCACCGAGTCCAACAGGCAAGTTACCGGTAGCAAGTTCACCATCCATTAAATTCTTCGTCCTCTGTGTCGCTTCTGAACATAGTTGTATATATAACGGCTCTGGTTGTCACAAGCCTAGAGCGCCTTCTCGCGGCTGTGGACGGTAATGTTTAGGCTACTCCTCATTTCATGTTGGAATTATTAGTCAAAAACATGTTAAATTTCATATATAAGTCGCACCTGACTATAAGTTGCAGGACCAGCCAAACTATGAAAAAAAATGCGACTTCTAGTCTGGAAAAATACGGTACACTTATGGTATTTCCATGTAAATACTGTAATATTTCTAACAGTAATATGTACCTACTGGGTTGAAACTAAGTACTTACTAACCATTTATTTGGGTAAAAAAAACTCAGTACTTACTTTCTTTTTCTTATGGATACTACACAAATGATTTCATTACCATCTAGTCCATATACTTACTATAGTACTGTAAGTAATCTAAAGTACTTTATACTTACTAGCCAGTTCTTTTGGGTACTTTTCTAATAACTATTTTGTTGCTATCTAATTTTTTGGTAAATACCAGGTAATTAGGGGACTGTAAAATAAAGTGTTACTTGGCACAGTCTCTGTAACTCTAAGTCAGTATCAAAATCTTTATCCAAACTCACCCTTTTATTTTTGACTATGTCTCCGTAGGCTTTTAGTGGAGCAACAATTCTTGTCTCCAGTCTCTCTACCTGCAACAATGAATCATGATAACAAGCTCATATTAAAGAGTTTGATGCAGAAAACAGAGCACATTGATTCATGGAAAACCACAGTGTCTCTGACCTGAGCTTGCCTGTAGTCCTGCACCATGGCAAGGTCTTCAGCCAGGTTTTTCAGGCCTATCTGGAGCTCAGGCTCCTCTGTCTGGGAGAAGTCGAAGAGCTGAGCTACCAGCAGGTCTGCTTTGTCTCTGAGCTTGGCAGTCTTCCGGGTGTAAGAGGCTAACAGGGAGCAGATCTCACCCAGGTACTTCTCAGCATGTTTCACCGTCTGCTCCATGCTCTTCACATGGGCATCCCTGCTAGGACAAATTAAGAGAAATAATTGTAAATTAGCAATTTTTTTTGCAACATATAGAATAAACTAGCTTGTTCACACCCTGGCCAAAGCTCCCCAGTTTACAGAGGAGCTGTTGAGACTACCTGTTGTCAACTGTGTGTATAATGTGAAACATTAAAGCACTGACTCCTACCTGGACATGAGGCTGTTCATGTTTGTTCTGTTGTCCTCCCCACAGCTTCTCTCTGCTCTGTTGTTTGCCTCGGTTGGTTTTCACCTGCACCAGGTAACGGAAGACTGTTGCTATAGAAACACTAACAACAGAGGTTGTAACAGCTGTTGTGACGATGTTAGTGATGCCCTTTGCCACTTGATGGCAGCAGAGTATTATTATGGCCATCTACTGTACCTTAGAGCTGGAAGTGCTGCATCTCACAAAGGAACAATTCTTTTTTTCATCATATCAAGTGTCATTCTCTGGAGTGTTTTTTTTACATTGTCTTTCTATATCACTGCCACTGGGGGCACCAAGGCCTACCATATTCTCAGATTCAAAGAACCTGGTTCTCTACTGTCAGTCAGCTAAAAAACATTTATTCATGTAAATGAGAAAGGAAATGTACAGTGATAATTGAGGGCTTGGAGCCAAAGGGACATAAGTGTGTTGTGTGCAAACTTGAATTTGCTGTTACTAAACACAATAAAAAACACATTTTTGTGTTATCATATTGAGCATGATTTTAAAAACAATATTGCCAAAGTTTGAAATACTTTGCAAAAGAATGAGATACACCTTTTGGCACAAACATTTTACCAGCAGGGCTTGGAAGTAAATAATTGTAAACCATATTCATTTTAATTAAAAAGTACACACTTGTACACACAGAGGTGTTTCCAGACTTTTTTGACTGGGGTGGCACAAGTAGGGCACTGGCTTATGCAGAGGTGTCATTAAGTATCCCAGTTTTTACAATTCTAATACTGTTTATGGACCCCAGTCTGCAGAAATATTCAAATACAAAAATACATTTATACCACATGCAAAAAACTGTATGTTTTTTCCCCCCCAAATTGCATGGGATTAGCATAAAGTTAGCATGTGTGTAAATGAGACTTGTAGGTACCCATAAAACCCATTTTCATTCAAATGTCTTCAGGTCAGATGTTAAGGGACCACTTTGAAAATGGCCACCTCAGTTTTTCCATCGCTAAAATTTTACCTGACTTTGGAGCGTTATTTTGCCATGGTTGGTACCAATGGATGAGCCTGCTACAGCCTGGAAGAGGTAAGAATAACAGGGTGGCACTTGGGGTGGCCAAATATATTTCAGGGCCCCCCCTGGAAACACCCCTGACAATTACAATTCAATCAACACTGAATCAAGATAAGAAGATTGTGTTATCTTGAAATAATGCTCTGCAACTTTCACAAAGGCTAATGTATCAAATCAACTGATATTGATTTTTATGTTAAAGCCTGTGAAAAACTTATATAGACAGCATCACTCAATGTACATTAGACTTTTTAAAATATATTTTTGGAGTGCCCGTGTCATTTATTGATGTGTCCTGGGACTTTTGTGTTCTTTTGACACATTCAAAGGGCTATAAAACTCCTCAATGATCAAAATCCCACTTTTACCGTTACGCCGTTCAGTTTTATTTGCAACCTGTGGGTCATCACTTGAGTTGTGTCTTTTTGACACCGAAAAAACCAATGAACCAAAGCCAACTATGGTTCAAATTATGTCATATTATTATATTATATATATTAATATATTATTAATTACAATTTTGCAGCAATTCCAGGTCATTACGAACAACAATAGCCCCACCCAACCCACTCCCACAACCTGTTAAAACAGGAAAAGCTGCTTGAAGTTTGTGACACAAAAAGTTAAAAACAGCAAAGTCTTCAGTTTCAAGAGATAGCCAAGGCTACATGAAAAATAGCTTTGCTAAAGCAACACACCTGTTTATTCCAGCTTAATAATAATAAACAGGGACCTGTTACTCTATATAAATCTGCACAAAGGTTGATGCTAAGCTAACAGTTTCTTTCAATGACTGCTGATATCTTATATTCTTATTGAACTGTTGCTTAGAGGATCTTTGTCTCTTCCTGCTCTTTCAGTTTTCAGTCATACAAAATAACATCTGTTTGTCAAGAGGACTTTCTACATGCATGAAAGGCCATTAAAACATCTACAATAGTCCTCTCAAACATCTGACTGTACTGAATTAAGCTTTTGTGGCAGGTGACTCTGAACTTTTGAGGGGTATAGTGTGTATATTTTTAAAAGAGTTTTGGTAGAGCACTCGAAGGTGCTCAGTGTTCTTGTGCTATGTATTGATGCCATGTGGCTACATTTAATGTATTTGCTAAAAACTCAGTCCTGTTGTGAAAAATGCTAAATTTTCATGTGTGTTATCAGATACAGTACTAAACAAAGGAATTAAGTTTAATTTTGAAAAGGTATAACATGGTATAAAAAAACGGTACCACCATGCCTCCAATATCATCATTTTAGGACACAAGTTGCGCATGAGGCCATACATAGGTGGGACGTGAGTGGAACATACTGCTAGTGGGATATACAGATGGACAGCAGACAGAGACATTGATGGTGTAGCAGTGGTTTGACAAGTTTCACATTTTCCTACTTTTTCCACATTGTAAAGAGCTCATTGGAACTAAAAGGGCAGCCATCTATCAGGAAAGCACAAACTTTGATATCATTTCCTAAAGGTCAGGTTTACTGGTCAGATAACAGTATACACAGTTGTCTCCTGCTTTTCTGGTAAATATCATTTGTCTGAAGCTGTGGTATACCATCATTCTAATTAAGCATGGATTCTCCTCAGTGCATGAATGTTGTCCACATGGCAGTACCTCCACCTGCTGGTTCTTTACTAGTACTACACACTTGGAAATCATATAGTTTGATTATATTTTTGATAGTCATGGCTATGACTGTGATGTATTTTACCGTTTAGAATGTAGTCAATTAATCAGAATCTCTAATTCAATCAGTGACTGCTATCAGTTGTGAGAATAGAGTGATCTGTATTACTAAAAGCAACATATATATAAAAAAGATTATGATAAAATGGATATTTCAATCTTGGCCACAAACATTGCATTAAATTTAACATAAGAAGAGACAGTGAAAGACAACTTGGCCAACACACTTTTAAATTCTCTTTTTTCCTCTGAGACTTCTCTTTTCCGCCATAGCTAGCCTAACTAGAAAGACTCAAGACAAGTAGCCAAAGCAGAAAGGGCAGCCAGAACAGGGATTAACTGACAAAATGTTGAAACTTTTGCTTTTATTCAGTCTGTAATGGCTACACATTCTTACAGGAGAATGTAAGAATCACTTTAGACTTAACAATAATAAATTAAAATGTTAAAAAATAAGACTTATTTCATTTTGAGATTTTTTTCAAAGCCACAAGGAGCCACTGCAGAGTGGCTAATCAGTTTGGATCTGGAGCTGCAGGTTACCACACCTGTACTAGAAAAAATCTTGATGTTTCTCTAGTTGCTCCCAATTCGATTTTTCCCATTAGCACACTTGAGCTCAGTAATGATCCTGTTTTGCATTCTTATGCTGAGCATAGACCAGAAGGTTTTAGAAACTGAGACCCTTATTACTCAAAGTATGAGGAAGCTGGGGTAGAATGTATTTCCCAGAAAATAACTCATAAGTCCCATTTTCTTCTATGGGAAGTGAAGGCAGCAGAAGCCCTGCCCTTTGAGAGCCAACACAAGTCAGTACATTCAGGGAGAAGACAGACACAGCCAGCAGAGTGGAGGTAAGCCCATACACTTTCAGCTAGATGAGTTTATCGTGTTGGAAGGTATCTTACTCTGCTTTCTGTTTGAGTATGAACCATGGCTCATTATTCTACTTTAAAGTCAACCTTTGTGCCCTCACTGTAACACAACCTTTAGCTGATGAGATTTATTTCCCTCCTGGTCACTGCAGCTATAGCAACATACTGAGGATGAAAATGAGATAGAATACAACTGTTTTGTTTCTTAGAATAGATAAGATTGCCAGGGGATAACTTTGAGATGATTTTATTTGACAATATGACTTGACTTGACTCCAAATTATTATTTATTTTAATAAAGAAGTTGTATTATATAATCCCCTTTTGAATTTAACAAAAACTAATGAACTAATAAACAAAAAGTGTTATTTTAGTTGGCTGACCTCAAAGCTGTCAGTTAGTCATTCCTTCCCAAACAGAAACTAGACTTATGGTTTCAGATGAAGCTGCTCACTCATTATCTCAGAAAGCCTGTAGAGCTCAGACTGATCTGCAGTGGACTGATAGTGCTGTGGAGCTGGTGACGGTGTGTCAGCCTCAGTCCAGCCTCCCTCTGCTGTCTGTACAAGGATATCAGCCAGTGAGTCAGCTGCATGTTGGAGGTCCACGCTGACTTCCCATTTATTCTTAAAATATGCCACTGGAAGGGAGTTTCCTTTTGCCAGAGGTGCGACCAATTCATTGTTTTGCAAGTCTCAAGGCTTTACACGCATGTCGCAAATTGAGTCTGACAAGTCCCAAGTTCTAAACTTTGAGTTTTGAATCCTAAATGCCATAATGTGACATGAGTACCCTATTTTTAATTATTAAAAGGTATACTCCTATACAGTGTTAGGCAGTAACTCATTACTAGTAAAAAATATTACAGCATTAATTTATTACTTTTGTTGTCACCCCCTACTGATCTGAAATGAACAATCCAATTGCATCATGGATCTGATTAATTTTTGTAATCATGGAGGAAACTGGTTTGGAAGATGAACACTTACATTCAGCAGCTCGACATATTCCATTACTTTGATTTTAACAAACAAAATTGGATCGTTGTAAGTCTGAATTTTGGGGAGAAGGGACACCGTTATCAACTTTGTGGTGACTAGCAGAAACGTAATATAACTAGTAGTGTAACAAATTGCTCCCAGATTGTGTGAATGTGTTAATTTCCGAAGGTGGCATGTAGTGTAAAAGCGCTTTGAGTGTTCGGAAGACTAGAAAGGCACTATACAAGTACAGGTCCATTTACCATCCATTAATTATGGTAAAGAAATATATACAATATATGACAATACATACAAAGGAAAGTATGCCACAGTATGTGACCGAAGTGAAGTGAGTAATTGCATTTTAATCATATTACTGCAAATACATTTCAAGCATTGAGTGAGTGATAACTCACTAGTTTTGACACTCAGGGAGGAGTTAAAGCCTTGCGGATCAGTTTATTTAGTCTGTTAGAGTCCGCTACCCTCAACCTGCTACCCCAGCAGACAACAGCAAACAGAATAGCACTGGCCACCACAGACTCATAGAGCATCCTCAGCATTGTCCGGCAGATGTTGAAGGACCTCAACCTCCTCAGAAAATAGCAATGGCTTTGGTCCTTCCTGTTCCACAATACAATGGAATCTTCAAAATGTAATTATATAGGATTTTATATGGGAGTGTTGTTAATTGAATTCACAACCCCAGGAGAGGTTTCTTGTCGGGAAAAATAATTAAATGTATGACCAAACAAGTAATAATGTGAGGCATAAGTTTGAGGAGATGATCTTTCCTTTTCTTTCGTCTTTAGTCATAATTTCCTCTCTTTTTGCATCAGCAATGTGGCATTCATACTTGGTGCTGGCAGTGCTGATTGGGTGTACGGACCCAGTCTCAGGGTACAGTAATGGGAAGGTGAGCATTGCTTGTGAAGACATGGTGCCTCAGCATGGTTATGAGCCAAGCCCAGACCCTCCTCCATACAACATCAGTGTGGATAAATCCACATTCAGTCCAGGTGACAACATCACAGGTAGGCTGCTAAGCATTAGTTTCCACTGTGGTGACATGTTATCTCTCCTGTTAGCTCACATTTTCATCTCATTCTTCATCCACAGTATCTTTAAGAGTGGCCTTCTCCTACCCCACGTTCTTCAAGGGGTTCCTGATAGAAGCTCGGGATGCTGGGAAATGGAACTCCCCAGCAGTAGGATTCTTCATCCTGACTGACCCACATGAGTCCCAGCTGCTACAGTGTGGCCACACTCAGGTATAGAAACATCATTGTTCTTAATGTTTTCCTCAAATCTCTCATGAACTAGCTTTAAAGTTAGTCAACCATTTTTTCATACTGTGTGCCAGAGTCACCACTGGAGCAAAGAGACATACTGCCCTACACTAACAGTGAAACAAGGCTCTTATACAACATAAGAGCCTTGTTTCATCCTCTTCTCAGTCGTAACTCATCAAATATGGCCACTTGGTCTGTGACCCTAAGCCTTAACTATGGTACCCCTTTAATGTCATATATGGCTGAAAAGGGGTAACGTAATGTTTTGATGTGCTGTCAAAGTCAGGTAAAGTAGTTTAAAAAGCTAGAAAGTCTGTATGGATGGGCCAGACAGAGACAAGACTTTCAATTGGGAGATCTGAGGAGAACTGTTTACATCCTGTGTTAAACCAAAAGTCAAAGCTGACTTCTATTTAACTTACCTTACGTTTGATGCCCTTAAAGGTCCAGTAAGGAGGATCTAGTGTCAGAAATGGAATATAATATTCATAGGTTTTTATTAGTGTATTATCACCTGAAAATAAGAATGGTTGTGTTTTTGTTACCTTAGAATGAGCTGTTTTTATCTACAAAGGGAGCTGGTCCTCTTCTATGAGGCTGCCATGTTGAACCACTATGTTTCTACAGTAGCCCAGAACTGACAAAGCAAACACTGGCTTTATAAAAAAAAGTATGTTTTCACATACAAGGAATTTGCCATGGTATATCGGTGCATAACAATAAACTGAGTACGAAAAAAAATTAAATAAAGATGTAATAGAGGCAATAAAGATGCATAATACTGTATATGCATACATATACAATATGACACAAATTAGATTTTTGCAATGTGCAACATATAATCCAATAGATAGATAGATAGATAGATAGATAGATAGATAGATAGATAGATAGATAGATAGATAGATAGATTCATAAAATGTGAAATGTTTCTCTGCAAGAGTCAAACTGGATGTTGCACATTATTAATTATAACCTGATGAAACTGTTGCATTTGAGTTGGGAGTGCGAATGTTTTGAAAAAATGATATGGTGAATTTTCCTAAATACATTTTTGGGGTTCAATATTGGCCTACAATTTTTATTTTGTTATATTTTATTTTTTGCAGGATGTCCCCTTAAGGGGTTCTGTACAATATGGCCATGCAAGTATGTAAGATGAATAAATATGCAAGATAACAATAGGTTATAAGAAATAGTGCCTGAGATCTTTATTTAGCCCAGACACTATTGTAGAACTGCAGAAAAACAAGAGCTTCACTTGAAAGAAGCATATATTAGAGATGGCTAAGTGCTTCATATGAAATGTTTAATACACAATGTTATTATTTGCAACAGTTGGGTGTGTGTCATGACCAGATGGATTGTGAGTTTTCTAGATGGTGACTCTCTTGTTTTGTATCAAAGAGCCTTGTTACGTCAATTGTAAAATTAATATTTTTTCTACGGGAGGTATTTGATGTGCAGATTGACTGTTTCATATAACAGTTTTAAAACCCTGTGACTGTGTAAATGCTATTCCATCCTAGTACAATGAACACTAAATACCTGGCCTCTCCTGGAAGTAATCTATATATAGATTAATAATAATAATAATATAGAGCCAGTGGTATTGATCAAAGTATATAGATCAAACACATCCAGATATTAATACTGACATTATGTACTCATTCTGCCAGCCATATTGATCAAATACTGACAAACCTGTCAGTGGTGCAAATGAGTAAGAAATAAGCCTTGACTCAATAAATATAATGTTGGTAGCCTGTGAGGTTTTTGTTAAGGCTGAGAAAAAGGTTTCCATGTACTCTAAGACACATACTCTGTTCAAATGCTGCTGTTACAACCAACTTAATTATTACCTTCTGTATGTAAGCATGAGCTAAAGCAGCATGCCACCTCAGCACAAACATTATGCGTTTAATGATGTTCTTGTGTGTGGCGCTGTGAATCCCTGTCATTTGAAGGGATCTGGGGTGAGCCACACGAGCAGCACAAGAAAGACTCACATTCAGGCGGTGTGGAAATCTCCAAGAAACCCTCCACACAGAGTCCAGTTTCTGTGAGTACACATTACACTTCAGTTCAAGTTTGAACTTAGATACAGGTCTAGACATTCGTTGTATTGCAGACCCAATCTGTGATTCAACAACAAAATATTTAATGGGCTTTTTTTTTTTGGACAAATTCAGTGTGTTCTACTCTCTGATGCTTGGCCAGTGTTCTACTAGCTCTTTGTTGTGGCTGAGAGTACAAAGTTTTCTTACAATCAAGAAGGCCTTGTGACCCACCGTGAAGCTTTGGTGACCCCTAGAGTCATACTTTAGTATCTGAATGTGTATTTCCTTTTTGTTCCAGTGTGACGGTGGTGCATAAATATAATATGTACTGGGTGAGGATTGCAGGTCCTGTGGTGTCTCTAGGAGTGACCACTGTTCCATCCACTGTTGTTCCTGCTCAGACCACCGGCCCCACTGCTTTGTCCACACCGGTCAGTATCTGACACATAACATACACTTTAAGTGATAATCAGAAGCCTGCTATGAAATATGAAACCTTACTTTACTTTTTAAAAAAAAAAATCTAATTTACACTCAAAGGTTCATCTTTGAATTTGCTTAATTAAATCATGGGACAGATTTCCATGTGATTAAATGGCTCTCCTTCAGGATTAAGCAAATTATGTTGGGCAAATTTAATTTACTTGGGTTGAATCAACTCAATTTACTAGTGTAATGTTACAACTGTAAAATTAGTTGGACCAACCCTATTAAAATAAAAGTCAGACCCAAACCGGGTAAGTAAGTTCAATAAACCTTACTAAATTAGAGTGACTAAATTAAGTTTGACCAACATAAATGCTTAATGCTGTGGAAATACCTTTCCATGATTAATTTAAGTTAAATATGTTTTTATTATTATTTTTTTATTTATTTATTAATTTACATTTTTTTGAGTGAACATAATGTTGCTTTAAAATCCACTAGAAGCATCTCTTTCCAGAAACAGTGTCCTTGATGCTTTAGATACAAGACAGACCACACTGACAACTTTTTATTTCTTCTGTAGAAAGTAGTTTCAATCAAACTGTTCAAAGTTTTAGACTATCCAATAACCAGGTCATTGTAATTCTGAATAAGAATGTCAACTACTTTTCTGAACCTTTTTTTGCTCCTTCTCAGCTTAGTTCAGCAGGTTGTGGTCGCAATAAGTCTTGCCTTAGAGACCCAGTGGGCTGTCACCCTGAGTCAGATTCCCACTGTTACTTCCTGTCATTTTTTACTGACCAAGAAGGACAGAGTGTGATGTTTGAACTCAGTGGGCCTGCTGAAGGTTACATGTCCTTCGCCCTCTCTCTGGACAAATGGATGGTGAGTTTAATCATGAAGTGTACTGGTTTGTAATAGTTTGTACTGTACACAGTTGACACTGCTAAAAAAACATTAGTATCTCTAAAAGACCAAATTATTTAACTTCATGTATGACACCTCATACTGAATAGGATAAATAAGGCAACAAATAAAATATCTGCTTGATATACCAGTACCACCCAGTGTTTTTATTCATCTTTCATAATTTTGATTGTAATTTAATTAAGTAATTAATTAATTAATTAATTACATGATCACTCTACTGCATTTGCGACATTTGACATCTTGTTGTGTTTTATATTTTTAAATACTTTGTTGCAGCTTGCCGATTTAGCTTCATGTTTATGTTGTCTTGCAGCATTGTACTAAAACTATGGGGGACTTAATATAAACAGGACTGTGAGTCCATTGTTTACTGTGGCTGTCAACACTGTAAAACACAAGCTGAAAGTCAAAACTTTAATATTACAATCATTGCATTTTAAATCCAACATGTTCGACTACAGAGCACATACAAAGAGAAACATAATATAGTAACATAATATACACTGTGTCTGACTGCACTTTAGATGTAGGATAGCTACTGTATCTACAGTAGATACAGATATAGTTACCAAAACCAAAACCACGGTGTAAGGTGGTGGCACTGTATACAGTGTATTTAGCAATCAATGTTTTGTTTTGTTTTTTAATATTTTTTAAAAGGTATGTATGTGTATTCATTTAGATGATAATAGGTATAAGGAAATCTTCCTGTCAATTAGTCCATTTACAGTGCAATTAATATGTAGTTTAACCGTTTCAATCAGTGTTATTCACTTCACCTGTCACTGCTCATAATTTTATGGCTGATCGGTGTAGAAAACCTTACTTTGACTTGGAAATAATCTTATCTCTAAGCCAAACTGTGTCCTGTTATAATAAGAAACACAATGAGCTGTATGTATGTAATGTTTTTCTGCCATTGTAGGGGAACGATGATGTCTATCTGTGCGTGAATGATGGAGGCAGAGTTACCATCAGTGCTGCACATGTCACCGGACGAAAACACCCTGAGCTGGTGACAGAGGTACACACTCAAACACACAGGGATCACTATCCACATACATTTATGTTTTAACAGACAATCAGCTGTCCTATGTCTCCAGGAGGATCTCTGGGGTCAAACCTGGAGGTTGGCTGATGGGGTCATCCAATGTCGTTTCCAAAGAAGTGTCCTCCTCCCTCAACAGGACAACCGGTTCAGCTTAAACAATAGCTACTTTTTGTTTCTCGCACATGGTAGATCTCAGCAGGGTAAGACAGTCAGGATTTATGGGGCTTAATTGGGCTTAATCTCTATGAACGTCTGTGAATGGGTGAATGTGGCACATAATGTAAAAGCACTTTGGCTGGACAGAAGACTAGAACGGTCCTATAGAAGTACAGGTCCATTTTGCCATTACCATTTATGTGATTGCATGACAGTTAAAATGATATTTGAGTTTGCAGGAATTTAAACTATTGTAAAAAAAACTATAAAATACATATTGGCCAGTTATTTGTATCCACTACCAATCTGATACAGTTGAACAGCCAGAAAATTGACAATTCCCCACAACTGCATTAAAACAAAAGTGCCCACTCACATGCTCCCTCTGTCTCTGTTTTGCTCTTTGTCGCTGTCTGTCTTTTTCAATTTGTTTTTCAATGTTTGTTCAACCTCATACTGCCCACTGTTCTGCCTGCTGGACACTAGCACTGCCTCACTGACTGCCAGTACTGTGAGACGTTAGTAAGATTATACGTCGTGCCCTTGAAAAACATAAAGAACAACACATAGTTGGGGTAAACTTGTGGTGGCTGTGGCTCAGGACAGGTTGTCCACAAATCACAAGGCAGTTTAATTCCCTCTGGCTGCATATCAAAATGTCCTTGAGCGAGAAACTGGTCCCAATTGTGCCATCAGTGTATAAATGTGTGTGAATGGGTGAATGTGACATGTAGTGTAAAGTGGTCAGAAGACTAAAAAGGCGCAATGTAAGTGCCGTCCATTTCCTATTTAGTGTACAACTAAAACCTTATACATATTTTACATGTGAAGGTCTGTTAAAGGTCCAGTGTGTAACATTTGAAATAAGAATACTTTTTGTCACCTTAGAATTAACTGTTTATATCTTCAGAGGGAACTGGTCCTTTTCAATGGAGTTTGCCATGTTGAGCTGCCATGTTTTTACAATAGACCAGAACAGACAAATCAAATACTGGTTCTAGATAAGGCGATTTTTGCGAGTTTCACAGCCATGTAGTTTCTCCTACAGGCTTGGTTGAGCCCAAGTGTGAATCTATCGTGACATAACCCATTGGTTTGTGGAGTATCATTCTGAAGCCTCAAGTTTTCCATTATGGTTGTCGCCATAACGGTTTGTCGGCGGTGGTGACCTGTTGAGCTGGTCTCATTGGCTGCACGTTTTTCACTCATTCATAGCAGGAAACAATGGCAGCTCATCTGGTGACACACACTCTTGTGTTTCAGCCAAACAATACACTAAAATAATAGTTTTTGGGTGGAGGAGGAAACGCAGTAACAGAATCTTGCTTCGTATCTGATCAGCACTGCCTAGTTTGACAGTTTGATCTGAGTTTGGTGCATTGAGCTAGATGGACTCACTGAGAATGACTTGTCAATCACACTGTAACCCGCCCTAAAGCATACCCTGCTTTATTGTCTATTTTACTCAAAATGTGACCATCATTTGCTAAATGAAAATCATGCTGTATGGAAGAAGACTGAAACTAGAGATTGATACCATAAACTCATTAGGAAACTCTTTACTGAGCTCATAAATCAAATGAGAAGTTGTCTCATTTCTCCATAAGACTGCATGTTATTGGTCTTTCATCACAGCCAATGGAGCTGCAGCCTGCTGACCATTACAGTAAAATGTTTAAGACACTTCCATGTTGGCTACACTTCACAGACCTGGAAGCTCTGTCCACTATATTTACTGTCAATGGTTGAGCCGAGTGGTTTCAGTTAATTGTAATTTGGGTTAGGGTTGGCGAACTTCACCACTGTATGCCACTGCACACTGATCTTTTAACAAGTCATGATTAGTTTTACTCAGTCTGTAAAAACAGGTGTGACTTCTGTGTCTCTGGTTGAGCTTTGTCAATAAAAAATAATGTCATAGTGATGCCATCATACTTTAAATAATAAGAAAACTTAAATTAGGAACATGGGGCATGGAGATTGAAGGCATTTACCAGGCAGTTTAATTAAATATACATTGCGTTGTGGGACACGTAGGATTCATTGACACTTTTTATACACATCTACATATATATACATCTGTCAATTGCTGTTGCCGTTGTATTACTGAACTGTTTAGCCCAGCCAATGTAGATCAGTCAATGCTCTGTAGTATTCATGAAGACACTTTGAACGAGGCTGAGTTGGCCCTCACACCTCGGGTCATGTGTGTTTCAATCTGACCAGTCAGGCCTTCAGAGAGAATACTTGCATGAGTCACATTGCTGAGAATAGCATTGCTTCCTCTTAAACTACTGTTGAATCACAATGTTATACTGAGCTGAACATGAATACTCTTGTGTTATACTTTCTTTTGTAAAATTACATTTGTGTAAATTTAGTGCATGTTGTCAAACCTTTGTCCTCCACAGGTTTAATCTCCAGACACGATCGACAGCCTCTCATCTCCACCCATCAGAAGGTGATCACTGGTCATCCAGAGATTCTTTGTGGCTCCCGCTCCCCCCTGCTCATCAAGTTCCATGGTTGGTTGACAAATGCATCCTGGCTGTGCCGTCCATCCTATTTAAAAAAAAAAATATATATATATTTTATATATATTTTATAAATAATAACTTTTTATCATAATATGCTGAAACTTTCACTTTATCCTGACAATAGTACATGAGGCAGATAATCTGTGAAAAAATATGGTTCCTCTGGCTCCTCGTAGTGCTCCTAATCCATTTGCAAGAATCCACCTTGCCTGAACGACTAATCAACAACTAATCAGAGCCAAGAAAGAAGAAGAAGAAGAAGAAGAAGAAGAAGAAGAAGAAGAAGAAGAAGAAGAAGAAGATATGCTTTGTTAATCTCCAAAGGGGAAATTCTCTTTACACTCTTACTTTACACAGAGGCCCAAAATACAATCATGCACATGCAGGGCTTATAGACATGCAAACGTGGAGAGATGATGGAGTGAGTTTATAGTACATGCGGTCTGTCCTCTCAGGTGTATTAATGCTGACTGTGTGGATGTGGATGGTAAGCACAGCCGTCTTCATTGCTCGGCACTACAAACCCTGCTGGCCTGACACAACTCTGCTGGGACAAAGGCTGTGGTTTCAGGTGAGAGCCCCAATACACCTCTGACAGTGACAATAAAGAACATGGGACATCCATGTCTCATTTAACAGAGTAATTCACAGAGTTTTCATAAACAAATTATTTGTTTTCTTCCTTCTATCTCTGCTAGATAGAACACAATAGTAATCCAGTCTTCATCGAATCTTTATATAGTCCCCCTCCCTCTTTTTCCTCTCTGTAGCTCCATCGAACCATGATGGTCTTGGCTGTGGTCCTAACTGGTGTTGCGTTCACCCTGCCTTTCATATACAGAAGAGGATGGAGCAAGGTAAGTGTGTGAGTCTGTGTGTGCGCTTGTACCCCTTCCAGGCCTGTCCACCTGTCCCTCCATCTGTCTAACTGGCTTTTGGCATCTCTAAATCTTTTGGTCTCTCTCTCTCTGTCTCCCTCTCTCTGTCTCTCTCTCTCTCTCTCTCTCTCTCTCTCTCTCTCTCTCTCTCTCTCTCTCTCTCTCTCTCTCACACACACACACACACACACACACTCATAGTCTCATCATGACTTGTTCCTTTTTGTCAGTGGAGCTCAGACTGTGTGTACTAGTAGAAACTCATTATAAGGACTACAATTTGCATTAGCAGATATTCCTGCAGAGCCTCTCTCAGGATACACACAGGATATCTCATTATGTAATAGGCAATTTGTCTTTGTATATGCATGTTTTCATTTTACTGACCCATTAGCTTCTCCTGTCTATCACAAGAGAAAGAGTGATAATTTACACATTCAGCTCTGATTGTGTATTTTCTCTCATTGCCACTGTACTGACAAACAATGAAGAAGTTCATTTCCTGAGTGATGTGCTTTCACACAATATTTTCAGTCCACAATGAATGGCATCCTGACGTGTCTCAGTCTGACTGTAAAAATAGCTAAATGAGTTGATCCTAAACTTTGGAGTGATCCACCCTTTAAGTAAGGGAAAAATGTAGAGCACATTGATTTTTGACAGGGAATAAAATGCTCATCAAGACACAGACATAGACAAGTAAACCTATCCTTCTCTGAGCTTCACTGCCAATATAAGAATATCTTTTTTGTCTAAAAACTTCAAGTTTGACATTATTTGTCATTCATACGAGAGCCTAATTAGGTACATGTAAAAGGACTTTCATGTGCAGTATAAATTACCTTCAACCTAACCTTTCGACAATTCTATTATAATACATAATAACATTGACAAGTTAGTCAGAAGTCTTTTCTTCAGTGAATCAAACTTTATTCCACTTGAGGGAAGTGTTCCTGTAATTCAGCTTCTTCTGCTGTGAACCAACTCGTAGCTAACACTCCCCTGTTTGTGTGTGTTCCCGTGTCACTGTGGTGTGTATGTGTGTGTGAATGACTCAGCCGTTTTAGTCACATGCTGTTCTGTGGGTTGTGTGAGTGACACAGTGTTGAATCCATCCAAGCACTTGTTCCTCCTGACTCAGCACAGAGGCTGAGCTTTTAGAATCAGGTTTTCCCTCCAGCTGAACACTTCATCATAAAGGTGATGAGAGCGTGTTAGGTAGGGTCTTCCACGGCATGAATACGACTTTGAAGAATTCCGGTTATAAAGGAAAGAGGAGCCACATCAAGTTGAATTTAAGTTTGAGCTTTTAAGTAATTAATTAAACTAAAATAATGTAAATAATATTCCCCAGTTTTATATGTGGTTATTTCTTATAAGTTTGATAAATATGAGCCCAAACTTCTTACCTGAAGTGAAGAAAAGTGGTTGGTTGACAAAACATTTTCTTATATAAATTGATATACGGATCCACATGCTTATATATACATATTAACAAGACTAATGATCTAAAACGCACAATCTAAAGACTAATGGCCAATAGTGAAGAGACTTATCTTCCACTTACAGACAGTTGTAGTAATTTAATTTAACGGAATCTCGTGGTGAAGTTGCAGAATACAACTATTTGAATACAGCTCAGCCTTCCAAGCGTGTAAGAGAAAGTACAGTGGCTGGTAAAGAGCTTATCTATAGAGCCAGTGTTTGGTTTTGCCCAACATTATTTACAGAGACCCAACAGTACCACCATGAGCAAGCACTTGGCGACAAGGGCAAGGAAAAACTGCCTGTTAAAAGGCAGAAACCTAGGACAGATCCTTCGGCTCTAGGTGGGTGGTCGTCTGTCTCGACCAGTTGGGGTGAGAGAGAGAGAGAGAGAGAGTCAGAGAGAGAGAGAGAGAGAGAGACATATGCTTTTCTAAAATCTATTTTTTATGTGTTTTTTATGGTTCCACTTAGAAGGTTGTTTATTAAAAAAGATATGCTCAGAGAGGAGTCAGTTATGCCCAAATTTTTCATTATCTAAAACGTCCGACATTTCTCAGTGAATCTTTTATTCTGTAAAGTAATTAAAATATGGTTGTGAAATCAAAGCAATTAATACACAAAATCAACAAATAATCTATGTACAATTTACAGTGCCAACAATAAAAGTGCAGACAATGGAATAAGAGTGTGAGGCGAGGATGTTGCTGTCAGCAACTATACTGCAAGATGCCATTAAATCATACACTCTATAACTTTAAATCTGTGAGTAGGAGGAAAAGTAGATGTCTTCATCTTTCACTTAAGTCCAATATTTATCTTGTAGCAGTTTGACAAACCGTCCAATTTACCTGGAACACAGCCACTGTGCTTATTTAAACTCTTTGACAGGGACACATCCCTGTTCTGTTCCTTCCCTGTTGACAGTATTTTTTGAAGTGGCCTCTAGGTTTCCCCATGACATCCTGACCAACTCTAGCACTAATAAATCAGCCACCAGCAGGTTAAATCCTCATTTACAGAAGAATACAGTTATTCTATAACTCTGTAGGAGTGTTGCTCTTCACTCATGTCAGTGCTGTATTCTCTTTGATTGGTAACAAACACATGGACAAAGTGTCTACTTGTTCTTATTTCTGGTGTCTACTTGTTCTTATTTCTGGTGTTCACCTAAGTAGCCATAAAGAGTGCCAGAGAATGGGGCATTTTCAGATTCAGGTTACTGATGTTAGCGCACTATTGTGCTGTCTCTAGAGCTCAGACTGAAATTTAACTTTAACAGAATGTTTCAGACTGTTATTTTGTACTGCCACTGCTTGCAGGCAGAGTTAAATGCCTATGACCACTAGTGTGTACTGAGGCAGCTTCACTGACTCTCATCCCGTCTCCTCTGTCATGTCTCGTCCCTGATTCTGGTGTGACACTGTACGATGTTAACATACCACCTGCTGCTTTCCCTCCCGCTGCTACTCCTCCTCCTCACAGAGCTTTTTAAACTCATTAGCTTAGAAAAAGTTTTCCCTACCACTGGATAAATGGTTTTTAAAGATATCCGGTCTGAAAATGTCACAGCTAAGATGCCAAACTGCTCATTTATGAAATCAAATTTATTCAAAACTGCTCTTATGTCTTCACGATCCACAATTTGTGTTCCTATCTTAGAATATCCTTAATTCTACTAATTATATCCTGTTTATTAAAGATTTGCTAATGCTGCTCCTTTTCTTCATTCACTCTCTGGCTCGCTCAACCACTGCTAACCTACAGTACTATAGTTTCCTCTCCAATGAGGGAATGTAAGAAAGAAACATTTCAGGTGTGCTCACTATTTGACTGAGCACCGGTGATTTAGATAATGTGGATAAACTGTTGGCTTGTTAACAACTAGTGTTGTTTTTGGCAGCCTGTTTTAATTTTAGTTTTAGTCTAGTCTTTGTGTCAAACGGTCATTTTAGTTTTTATTAGTTTTAGTCACGTTTATACTCTGTTTAGTCAAGTCAAGTTTCAGTCGACTAAAAGTCTGAGCATTGTAGTCTTATTTTAGTCAGAATTATCCATGGCTATTTTCGTCTAGTTTTAGTCGACGAAAACTGATGACATTTTAGTCTAGTTTTAGTCAATGAAAATTGTATTTTAGTCTAATGCAATTCTATTTAACCCAGTTAATATAGTACAAGTACCTAGTTTAGTATAGACAAAACCAAAAATTTCTTTAAGTCACCCATTTCACAAGTCAAACAAGGTTATCTTATTATAATATTATTGTTACCTTATAGACTAAAGAATACATTTAATTCCAGACACGGAAGACGCTCTGATTTGAATTTACAACATATTTATTTTACCTACCAAACATGTAAGAAATACACACACATAAATTTAAATAAAATAAATAAATAAAATAGCTTCAAATGACAATCTTGTCACGACCCGGCTCTGGAGCCGTGACAAAAACGAGGAGATGCAGTTGAAAGGACAAATTATAAGTAATTTATTTAAACATGGGACTTCCGGTTGATGTGCGGAATGGAGTATTGGTGTTTTCCAGGCTCCCGCCACATATTTTATATTTTGACTATTTAGTCATCTCATTTAACTCAACTTTGCAGAAATAAGGCAGTATGTCATCTAGACCTGGCAAATCTTCGAAAAAGCCTGAGCAGCAGACAACTTTAGCCGGCAGTGCCGACATCGATAATGCTACACTAGCTGAGCTGGGGGCGGACCTGTTGACCAAACCTGACTCACTAGCCGTCAGTTTTGAAAACAAGCTTGCTGCCATAGACTCCAAGCTAGACGGATTGCAGATGACGGTGACCAACCATGAACAACGTATCTCCGATCTGGAGTCTGGGCTGAACCAGCTCCAGTCTTTAGAGGCAATGGCTGAAGATAACGCCAAGCTGAAAGCTAAGATCACCGATATAGAGGGGAGAAGTAGACGGTGCAATGTGCGTCTTATTGGAGTGCCTGAAGCAGTCGAGGGCACACGACCCACTTCTTCTCTACTTTTCTGGTGGATGTGCTGGGAGAAGACGTGCTTTCAGCCCCTCCAGAGCTTGACAGAGCTCACCGAGCACTCAAACCCAAACCAGCTGAGGGGCAAAAACCTAGAGCCGTGATTGTCTGTTTCCATAAATTCCAGACTAAGGACATGGTCATACGGGCTGCCCGCAAGAAGCGAGGAGAACTAAAATATAGAGACAAGCTGATCTACATATACGATGATTACTGTCCTGAAGTGATGGAGCAACGTGCGGAGTACAAGGAGGTCATGCACCAATTGTACACGCGCAAACTTAAGCCTTCACTACTCTATCCAGCGCGGCTGTTCATGGCTGGAAATTGAGGCGTTTCATCATGCAAGAAGCCCAGCAGTTTTTGGCATGTGCGCACTGTGGGGGGGTCATTCCATCTTTTTTCTCCCTTTTTTTTTTTTTTCTCTTTCTATGGGGTCAATACTCAGATATTGTATTCTACAACCACAAGATGATTCATTACTTTGTGCATGGAAAATAAGAACATGTCAGTGAACAATATTCGTCTCATATCTTGGAATGTTAATGGGGCAAATCAGAATAGTAAAGTAAATAAGATTATGTCACATCATCAGGATCTGAAGGGAGACATAGTGTTTCTGCAGGAGACACATTTACATAGTGGGGAGATTCAGCGCATTAAAAGGGGCAGATTCAGCCAGTTATATCACTCAAAGTTTAGTGCGAGAGCCAGGGGTGCTGCTATCTTGATCCGTAATAATATTCCATTTGAGCCAGAAAACATTATAGCTGACTCAAGTGGTCGGTTTGTCATTGTTTCAGGGAGGTTGTGCAATACTCAAGTTGTTTTGGCTAGCATCTACGCACCAAACTGGGATGACGAACGATTTATCTCCAGGCTTTTTACTTCTATTCCTAATGTTGAAACATACCACCTTTTAATTGGGGGTGATTTCAATTTTGTGCAACATGCTGATTTAGACAGATCCTCTGCTAGACCGCATTCTCTCACCAATTCTGCTAAGCTTCTAGCTTCTATTGCAGGGTAGCTGGGCCTGACTGACCCATGGAGGTGTAAATTCCCAGATAAAAAATCTTTTTCTTTTTTTTCACGTCCACCACTCATATTCACGAATAGACTTTTTTCTCTTAGATAATAAACTGCTCTCTAATGTACACTCACGTGACTATCATAGTATAGTCACATGCGTGTGACCATGCTCCTACATCATTAGATAGATTTTTTCCCAATATCAACCGCACTTTTAAACAATGGAGATTTAATTCACATTTACTATCAAATGACGCTTTTGTTGATTCCTTAAGATCAAATATTCAACTATTTTTCGAAATAAATGATTCACCAGGTCATATCATTTCCTATACATCTCACAGAAAAATGGCTAGTTCCAGATAATTGGAACTGTCACTAAAGCTCCAGGAAGTTGCCGATAGCTATGCTAACTGCCCAGACCCCTTACTCTACAAAAAACACCTACGACTTCAAACAGAGTTTAATCTTTTAACTACACAGGAAGCAGAATCACAACTACTTAAATCTAGACAAATATTTGATACTCTTCAAATGGCCTGTGATTTTGTGGCAAAAAAAAAGGAAAAATATTGGAATTATGAGCATTGTTTTTATGTCATTCTGCTGTCCCATTGTGGATGTTTTGTATTATTATTGATGCTCAATAAAATATATATATATATATATAAAAAAAAATGTATTTAAACATAACAACCTAAGTGCAACCTGAAAAATAACTAAATAGAAGACGAGGTTTGTCAGTAACATCAGTAGTGAAAGTGTGTGTATGCATGAGTGTGATGTATAATGAAAAGTAAATGTTGGATGATAAAACTGAACTACTCCGAATACCAGCAATGATAATAAGATAGAGAGAGAGAGAGCCCGTGTCAGCCAGAGAGGCGGGGCTTTTATAGCTGGGAAACACCGGGCCCAGGTGCTTCCGGGTATGCTGATTGGTCCAACCCCCAAGTACCTGCTGCCTTAAAAGGAAGAGGAAACATTAGAGCCATTCAGGGGACCGTCACAATCGTCAGTGACAAACAACAAAAACAGGTTAAAAGTTTCAATAAACTGAAATCTTTCTAAAATGGTAAATGGACCTGTACTTGTATAGCGTCTTACGACCACTCAGAGCGCTTTTACACTACATGGCACATTCACACAGCGATGGCAAAGCCCATCGAACAGAAACTAATGCATTCATATACATTCACACACCGATGCACAGCATTGGGAGCAATTCAGGGTTCAGTATCTTGCTCAAGGATACTTCAACATGTGGCAGGAGGAGCCAGGGATCGAACCAACAACCTTCCAATTAGGGGACGACCCTCTCTTCCTCTGTGCCACAGCCGCTTAAGGCAGCAGCAGAAGTGGCACTAGAGACCACGCCATTGTGTAAGACCACACCATTGTGTAAGGCCACAGTATATCACTGCAGCTCCTTTTCCTCTGTTCTGCCTCTTGTATTCTCTTTTCCTCTTAGCGTGCGGGATCCCACCCTTACATAGGCTGCACTGTCATGGCTCTGTCTGTCATCCAGCCAATTATGGCAATTCTCAGACCAGCCCCAGAGTCCCCCAGGTAAGACCTGAAACCAGATTTTAACAACTTCATGATTTGCTCATCACTGTCTCAAATAAGTGGATTTTATCATTATGCAGTCCTGAGAAGCAACACAAATTATTTTTAAATTCATCCACGTCAGCTGAAATCACTCTGTCTCTTTGTATCTGCAGGAGGATCATCTTCAGCTGGCTGCACTTCGCAGCAGGCACTGTTGGACAGATCCTCGCTGGTAAGATTAGAAAATAGGTTTTCTGGAGAAACTGTATGTAAATGGTAAATGTTAAATGGACTGTACTTATATAGCACCTTTCTAGTCTTTCGACCACTCAATGAGCTGTACACTACATGCCACACAGAACAGAAACTAATCATTCATACACACTCATACACAGATGCACAACATCGGGAGCAATTTGGGGTTCAGTGTCTTGCTCAAGGGCACTTTAGCATGCAGCGAGAGGAGCCAGGGATTAAACTTTCCGATTAGGGACGACCCGCTCTACCTCTGAGCCACAGCCGCCCAATTTGATTGCTACAGCTCAAAGTGTGATGAAGACTTGTATGTCATGATCTGTTACAAATCCATGGAGTACTGTATATGACTGCGAAATCAAATTGTTTGAACAGTAGTTTTTATGAGGGATAATATCCAGGCCTCATAAATGAAGCTCTAATCGTTCAGGCTCCGTCTACTGTATACATTTTGTAAAAATGAATTGTGCTTAATTAAATTTAAGTCAGAATTTTGGCCAGTGAGACACAGCAATTAGTGAAATGACAAATTATGTTATAATGTGTTGATAAAATAAAATCTGACTTTCTACAATATGGGACCTTAAGGCTTTTTTTTTTTTTACATAGAGCAATATATAAAAGTGCCTGTAGCATAGTTTGTCCCATGAGCTAAATGTTTACTTCCACCCAAGATTGAAATTCCATATCAACTACAGACTGGTTCTCTCTCTCTCCCAGCGGCATGTGTGTTCTTGGGTGCTGCTCAGCAGGCGCTGTTGCTTCCCAGCCCCTGGTCTCCTGTGGTATTGACTGGATGGCTGCTGTGGATCGTGCTGGTGGACCAGCTGCTATTGATCCACTCTTACAGTCTCAGAAGAAGAGGTACTACAACAGGCCAGTGTTGGTATATGATGTCAGACTGATTGTCAGAAAGAATTACATTTTGACAAAGTTCATCTAAGTTGAACTCAATGTAAAAGGACTTACTTTGATGATGTCATGGTATAGATTCCTGTCCCCTCTGTGCAAGCACCCTGATCAGCCAGCAGGACTTACTATTCCATTCAATTCAATTCAATTCAATTTTATTTGTTTAGCGCCAATTTATAACAGAAGTTATCTCAGGACACTTTTCAAATAAAGCAGGTCTAGACCGAACTCCTTACAACAATATTTAAAGAGACCCAACAGTTCCCACCGTGAGCAAGCACTTGGCGACAGCGGCAAGGAAAAACTTCTTTTAAGAGGCAGAAACCTCGGACAGACCCGGCTCTAGGTGGGTGGCCGTCTGCCTCGACCAGTTGGGGTGAGAGAGAGACAGAGAGAGAAAGAGAGCGGTGACAACAGACGTCTTAAGCCTACTCTTAAATGTGGAGAGGGTGTCTGACTCCTGAACCAAAACTGGAAGCTGGTTCCACAGGAGAGGAGCTTGGTAACTAAAGGCTCTAGCTCCTGTTCTACTTTTAGAGACTAAAGGAACCACAAGTAGCCCTGCATTCAGAGAACGCAGTGTTCTAGTGGGGTTATAGGGTACTATGAGCTCTTTAAGATATGAAGGGGCCTGACCATGAAGAGCTATAGTAGGTTTAGTAGTGGTAGAGTATATTTAGACAGTAAGTCTAGTGTAGTCTAGTAAGTGTTTGGGGCCAGGTACAAGAACTTCAGGAAATTGCAGCTCAAGACATGCTTGTAATTAGATAACTGATTGATTTCATCGGGCTTGAGTGGTACATATAACTGGGTATCATCTGTATAACAGTGACAGTTAATGTAGTGATTCCTAAAAATGTTGCCTAAGGGAAGCATATATAAAGTGAATGAAATTGGTCCAAGCGCAGAACCTTGTGGAACTCCATGACTTACTTCAGAGGATTCATCGTTAACATGTACAAACTGAGAACAATCTGATAGATAGGATTCAAACCAGCTTAGTGCGGTTCCTTTAATGCCAATTAGATGCTCAATTCTCTGTAACAGGACATGATGGTCAGTGGTGTCAAATGCAGCAGTAAGATCTACCAATACAAGTACAGAGACAAATCCATTGTCGGAAGCAGTTAAAAGGTCATTATTAACTTTAACCAGAGCTGTCTCTGTGCTGTTATGAACTCTAAATCCTGACTGAAAATCCTCAAATAAGCTATTGTTATGTAGAAAGTCACACACAACTGTTTGGCGACTACTTTCTCCAGAATCTTAGAGAGGAAGGGGAGGTTAGAAATCGGTCTATAGTTCGCTAAAACCCCTGGGTCAAGAGTGGGCTTTTAAAGAAGGGGTTTAATCACAGCTACTTTAAAGGACTGTGGTACATATCCTGATAATAAAGAAAGATTAATCATATCCAGTAAAGAAGTGCCAATTAAGGGTACGACTTCTTTAAGCAGCCTAGTTGGAATGGACAGACAGGTTGATGGCTTCGATGTAGAAATTATTGAAGTAAGTTGATGTAGCTTGATAGCACAAAAACTGTCTAAATATATATCTGATTTTACATT